ACGGCAAAATGCCGATTATATGCTTTTGATTGTTCTAATATTCGTGGTTGAATACCAGCAGGCCATGATTGAAAGATAACTCGATGAAAAAGTTTAGTTTCATTATATTTTAAAATTTGCTGTTGCAGATGAAAACCCACTGATGATGCACCAGCAGATTGTCCCCATATAGTGACATTTGATGGATCACCACCAAAATAGATCACATTCTGCTGAATCCATTCTAAGCATTTTTGTTGATCAAGTAATGCAACATTTCCAGGAGCTCTACTATCAGTAATATTATCAGAAAAATAGAAACCAAATGCTTGTAGACGATAATTACAAGTAATGACAATAACACCTTGATTGAGTCCAACAAGACGGCTACAATTCAGTAATGGTACTCCTGCAGCACCTTCAACAAAGGAACCACCGTTAAAATGAACCATAACTGGTAGATTAGCATTGCTTGCTGTTTGTGGAGGTCGACAAAGATTTAATGTAAAACAACATTCATGACAATCTACTGGGCAAGCACTTGGATATGATGTACAATTTTGCATACAACCTGGTGCTGGAGTTATCGCATAAAATGTTTGATTCGATGGTTGAACATCTTCTACTGGCGCAAATCGTTTAGGACATTTCCCATATTCGATTCCTAAGAACTCATCGGCATATGAATTTGATGAACCTATTACTTGTCCTTGATCGATTTGTACAGGATCTGTAAAATTAGATTTTATACCAATAATACAAATAAATCCGAGTAATAATAATTGTTTTATCATTATTAACAATCCTCTTCAAAAAATGTTTGTATACTTTATATTATTTAAAGAAATATTTTCTTCTAGCTTTCATTTAATATTCTTCTGTTTTTATACCTCGATAATATTTTTATTATTCACTGTAGCATATGCTTTATTGTCATTGGGCCATATAAAGAAAAACATGCATTGAAACGCCTATATTTTGAATATATAAATAGGTATTAGTAATCATGTATTTTTTTCTACTGTGAAAACCTTCTAGATAATTTTTTTCATATGTAAATGAGTATAAACATATAGGTAAAAATAAACTATAATCTGCGTCATACATATTACTGTATAGTTTTGATTATCATATATTGAATGAAATATCATAAACGTCGAAAAACAACAGAATATGATTTATTACATTTGACAGTGTTTGCAAGGTATTATATCGCTTATATATAACACAATATCAATAGATATAAACCAAATATGTTTTTTATCAAAGTTCATGTGTCAACTAAACATATGTAATATCATATGTTGCTTTTAATCATTTATAGGATATCAAAAATAAACTTTTTTCATTTGCATCTTCAACATGCTAATATTACAATTGATCAGAAGTTTTTTTTATGAATATAACAATAACATAATATGATTTAAAACTATACATAACTCATTGTGTTTCGAAATAATTTCTTAATAAGACTAATATATAACTTGCTTACACGATTTTGATTAATAGTTAGGTTATATGAAGTATTATGATAAATTTTATATCTTAAATATTTTACTTGTGACCTATTAGTATTTGTATACTGTAATATATTTCTATGTTTTCATGTACTTTTGAAACTTATATGTATATTTTTGATGTACTCGAAGAAAAATACATATTTACTTACAAAATGCAATGTTCTCATAATCTTTTGTTGACTTTCTTATTTATGTATTTCTTGTATATAAATATGTCACAAACATTAGTTACCATATTACTCTCATGTTTCGTCTTATCAACTTAATTCTTTTCGTTTTCTTATTTGCTAATGTTTTTAGCTGGAATCCATCAAATTATTCATATGATCCAGGTAGTAATTATCATCTTGTATGGCAAGATGATTTTGAAAATGTAGGTCCTGTTAAAGCAACAATCAATGGAGCTCCAGCTTATGCACCTAATCCATCAAATTGGATTTTAAAAACCGGTAATATAAATGGTGGATTACAGAATTATACAGATTCAATCGAAAATGCATATATACAAAATGATCAATTAACAATTGTGGCATATAAAGAAGGATATACATCAGCTATGTTATCAAGTGTTTATCTTCAACAATTTACTTTTGGAAAATTTGCAGCTAAAATTCGTTTACCTTATGGACAAGGTTTATGGCCAGCTTGGTGGTTAGTTGGTAATGCTTGGGATAAATATAAACTTTATTGGCCAACAGTTGGTGAAATTGATATTTTAGAAATGATTGGAGGTCGTCAATGGGGTAATTCAAATGATAAAATTGCATATGGAGCAATACACTGGAATAATGCATCAAATTCAATGACACCATTAAATCATGCTCAGAATCAAACAAAATGGCAGACACCAGATGGTTCATTACTACATGATAATAGTTTAGTTTATTGGACTGAATGGACTCCAAAAAATATAAGTATTGGTGTTAATGAATTTACATATTTTCAATTTAATACAACGAATATTTCTGGATCTATCAATCCAGTTGATGCTTGGAGTGGAAAATGGCCTTTCTATATGATTCTTAATATAGCAATTGGTGGTTCATGGCCTGGATCACCTGATAATACAACTGTATGGCCACAAAAAATGATCGTCGACTGGGTTAGAGTTTATCAACAATAGTTTATTATTTTTATCAAAAGACAGTATATATATATAAATGGTAAAGGTCTCTCTGACTATTTTGTATACAAACTGTCATGCTTTTAATAAGAATAAAATAAATGTTATAAAACATCTGCTATCTATCAGTTTGATTCACATATTTTGACTTTTAACCAGGCGTAGACGTTCATCGTTCTCTATTGCTTATTTTTATATAAGAAGAATACGATGTTTACTTTTGATACTCTTTCAGCTGCTTTTTATTATTATAAAAGTATTACATTACAATATATAAGTGAGTCATTACATCTGCGTAATTGCTAAATACTATTTTAAATCAACAGAAAGAACTTTAAGAAAGTATAGTATTAACAAAAGACAACAAAATGTGTCACTAACAATGCAAATTTTATTGCTTTCTTTTCTTCTTATTCTTCTTCTGTTTGTTAGCAACAGATGAAGTTAGTAAATATCTCGACAGTAAAAGAAAGATATGACTCGTAAATTTAATGTTACTCATATATAAAAGAAAAAAAATCCTTGATTAAATGACTCTTTTTCTTTCTCTTCTAGTAGCTTTTACTTTTTTTCAACTTCACACTTTTCGTAAATTATAAAACAAAAATGTCAACGAACAATCAACAACATGATATACGAGCAGGTCTTTCATTACTAGTACATCAACCAAGTTTGGAACATGATCATGAAGAAAAATCACAAAATTCACCAATAACTAAAAAAGATTCAACAAAATCAGACAATACATCAAACGCTAAACCATTTGGTTCTAATAAGTTTGTATTTTTTTTAATTTATATTCAATTCATTTATTATTTATATTAGATTCTTCATGCCAATCAAGAAATAATTGTCTTATAAATATATATCGAATTTCAAAATATAATCCGGCATTATTAGTGTATTATTTTTCAAAGAACAGATAATTTATGGCATAAGATTTATTATTTTATATTCGAAAAACGAAGTAAATTAATTGTGTTTGAAATACTTTCTTTTGATAAATAAATTATGGGATTATTATCGCTATAAGATAATAAGTTTTACATAAAATTGGAAATAAATTCATAGTGGAGATGATGATCATCAGAAAATTCTTCTTCTCCCTATTTTTCTATTTCATGTTTAATCTCTTCAATTTATCTTCTGTTTAAGACATCGTTAAGTCAAGTACGGAATGCTTGTGAGAGAGTAGCATCTTCTAAAGATAGATTTAACTTCATAAGACTTATTTTTGTCGGAACATCTCAAAACAATAGTTGAAAATCTAAATGATTTAATGAGCAGAATAATTCGAGAAATTAAATTAATTAAAAAAGGAACTGTGGAATGTCAATATTTTTGTATCGATGTCAAAAATAATCATTTTGAGTAATATTTATAAACTTGACTCATATGAAAAAACACCTACTATTTTCCTCTATAAAATAAAAATAAATTATTAATATCAATTTACTAATAAGGAGGAAAAATTAATTTCCTAAGTAATCGTGACTTGTATGACACCCTGTTCGACATGGTTTCTAAAATAATAATGACGATAATTTATTCTTTGACTTTTACGGTTCTTTAGTGTACCTATCTTTTTTTTATTTGCTTTAAAATTCTTCGATCATAAGAGTCTTTGATTTATCGCATGTAGATCTATCTTTCGGGAGTATTCGAATTTCTTTTCTTCTTCATTCACGTTCATATTCGAGAGAAAGATTTATACGAGATTATAATTTATCGTCAGCGTTGATCTAAGTTTTTATTTTTAATAAAGAGAACGTGAGTTCATACATCTAAAATTAGCTACTTAATAATCTTTCATTGATTTTATAAGTAAATAAAATATTTGAGTTGTATTATGTCAGTATTATCCTTTTACGTCCTGTAAGTTTTTTTGTATGAGAATTACCTTTTTCATGTATGATCTAGTGAAATCGATCAAAATTGAGTCATCATTTGTATCTATGAAAACATATTCTGAGCATAATTTGTGTAAGTTTATTAAGTACATAAGCAAAAAATAGCAACAGAAAATTCTAGATTCTTTACTATTTTGAATATGCTTAGAAGTATCTGTCGTAAGATCCTATTTCCTTTATTTTACTAAGAAGTTACAAACTTTTTTCATAGTAATTTAAAAATATAATTATTGTTGAGAATTATAAGAAGTTTCTATATAGAATTTCAAATTAGAATCGAAATAAAAGATCTTATATTATTGATATTTTAATTACAATAGACAAGATTTCTAATTTTCAATTAAATTGTTGAACATATTAACAGAAATTTTAAAGTAGGAAGCCTTTATTTTCTTATCTAAAGTCTCTCTGTAAGTAAGAGAGACCAGCCAAAAATTGCATCAATACTGAGGTTATATTAACGCGATATGTATAATTTGTCAGCAAACTGCCCTCACTAAACGTTCATTGAACAGTCATGCTCCCCGAAGACAAGGACTAAAGAAAATTTATTTCTTATCAAAATCGTTTATATAATTAACTGTTTTGCAAAATACCAAAATGATTGTCTCTTATCGTTTTCTGACTAGATTTAAGTGACATCTGCTGAATTAAAAGTCGAAAATAATTTTTATTTTATCATAATAAATAATAAGTAAGCGAAAGCACGAAGGTCTACATTAACAATAAATAAGATTAGACGAGAATTTAATTTACTGTTCAACATCATCACGATTCCATGATTGTTCTTCACCATCAAAAAAAATACAATATACAATACAACCAAAAAGACAAATACCAGATGATGTATTAAAAATTAATTTCCATGCAGATAATGTTTGATTTTGATTAGTTATCCATCCAACAAATATAGGTCCAACAAACCCGGGTATTGCAGCTAACATATTTGTAATTCCCATTAATGTACCTGCATAATTACTTGCAATATCTAAGTGAGAGATAAGACTACCAGATCCTTGAAAACCAATGAATGCAACAGAGAGAGTTATAAATATAACAGCTAAAACATGATTACATTCAACAAAACCAACTAAAACAAGAAATAATGATGTTCCACAAGCGCCAATAATTGTTTGCCATCGTCGTGTAGCTGTTGTTGATAAGATTTGTTTTGCACGTATTCGATCAGCTATTTGTCCTGAGATTATTGTAAAAATAAGTTGAAATAAATAAGGTATAGCAAACATAATTCCATTTTGTTGTAAATTAAATCGAAGAATTGTTGAAAAATATGTTGGTAATGATGTAAGTAATATATAAAAAACAAAATTTGTACAAATATGTTGAACAGCAATAGCATATAATGGTACACAAGTTATAATATGTCTCCAAGGTGTTGAAGATTTTTTTGGTTTTGGTATACAACGAAGAAGATATAATTTTTCTTCATATGTTATACGTGGATGTTCAGATGGAGAATTATATGCAAAAAATATCCAACCAATAAACCATAGACATGAAAGAAGACCAAAAACATAAAATGCCGATGGCCAACCACCGAAAAATGTTGATCCACATAAGAGACTAACCAATGGTGTTGTAATAACAATACCAATTTCTTTGCCTGTACTAGCAATTGGTGGAATTATACTTCGTTCTAATGGTGGAATCCAACGACCCCATAATGCTGTTGCACTTGGAAAAGCAGGTGCTTCAAATGCACCGATTAATAATCGAATAGCAATAAGTAAACCAACATTTGTTCGAGCAGCTAATGGTGTTAAAAGTGTTAATATACCAGCAATAAAAATACTACCACCAAATATCCATTTTGCACCAAATCGTTCGGCTAATATACCTATGAAAGAAAAAATTGTTTCTTAAATAAAAATCCTTTCATTGTTTAATAAATCTCTTTACCTCCGATAACTTGTGTAAGAACATAACCATAAAAGAATGAACCTAATATAAAACCTTGAGTTTTTGGTGACCAATCAAATTCACCCTATTATATTCAAAGAAATTTTTACAAGAAATTTTTTTTATTAATTTTTCTTACAGGAGTTACAGGATCAATTGATGAGCTATTACTACCATCAATTGGAGGACATGCTTGTGCAGATTCATTTTTAATATTGTGAATTTTTGTCATAGCAACTTTAATATATATATATATATATTTTATCGAAACAAAATTAAGAATTACTTACCGATTGCAACAGATAAATTTACACGTAATGAATATAAACAAAGAAAACCAAGAAAAGCCCATATAGCCACTACCTAAATAAGATAAATTGATCAGTTAGAACAAGAAAATCATTTACTAACATATCGAGCAGGAGTACCATCTAAATAAATAATATTATTAATAAGAATATTATATGAAAACTTCTTACGTTTATGCGGTGATGTTTCAATTCGATAGGAATCTCCAACATTTTCTTCATTGTCAAGTAATGGAGCTTGCATTCCATCATCACTTAATAGTCCTCGATGTTCTGATGATTCCATTCGTTTTCCTGCTCGCATTCAATAAAACAAAATAATCTTAAAATAAATTATTTTCACTTTCTATAACAGTTATAATTAAACTCAGAACTTTTATTCTGTTTATTTAAGAAATAAAATTGTCATTAAACATGAGAACAATAACATTGTTCATTTTTATATGAGAAATAAAAATAAAAAGATTTTGTTTTCTTTTAGTCTTGCAAAAATTGTTGTATATTTGGTTTTTGTTCGATATTATATTGTCTCACTGTCAATTTATATGATATACAGGTGAACTTATCAAAAGATGGATCTTGATGACACGATATCATAAACTATTAAAATTTTTCTCAATGATATTATTGGAGAAAAAACAAATCAATATAAATATATTCTTGTAAATTATTTTTTTTTCAGTTTTTTATCGTTTTTTTAATGGTACTTATTAATGGTAGAGGCAATAAGAGATGAACAAGGAAAAAAAGATGGCCAAACCAACAGAATTATTAGCAGTATATTTGAAGTAAAGGAAACGAAGGAAGGAAAAGAAAAATGATTGTTGTTTTCACTCTTCGTAAGCCTGGGACGAGAAAAATGTGGTTCGCTTTTTTGTTTCATTTATTAAAAAGACTATCATAACACAACATCCTAAGTTACGTTCCTATTATAGAACAAACATTTAGAGAAAGAGAATCGAACAATAATAAAAGTGGTCACTTCAACATTTTTTTTCTAACCACTTAATAATTCTATAGATATTTGACCCTACTCTAGATAATAAATACGTCAAACAATATAGATATGACTACAGTATTAGCATCGATACTGTCAGATAATTCTTCGATGCTTAGCAGTATTTCGGCAGCAACAACAACGCAACCTTTGGCAACAACAGTGGTTTATAATAATCATTTATTTTTACAAACAGCTGCTTGTCAAGCTATTGCTGGAGCATTTACTTGGGCAGCTATTCTAATAACTGGTTATCAAGTAAAAATAATATTTTGATTTTTTTTTTTGATTTAATATTTTTTTTTTGTTTAGATATTTCTTCATCTATCTCATTATACAGTTCCATCGGAACAAAAATGGATAATTCGTTTATTATTCATTGTTCCTATTTATGCATTTGTCTCATGGCTTAGTTTAATTATGTTCAGAAATGATTATTATTATGTTTATTTCCATGCTGTTCGAGATTGTTATGAAGGTTAGCTTATTAATTAAAATAGAAATAGTTTAATTTATTTTTTTCCATTTAGCTTTTGTCATTTACAGTTTTCTTTCACTTTGCTATGAATACTTGGGAGGTGAAGGGGCAATTATGACAGAAATTCGTGGAAAACATATCGAGTAAATATTTCAATTTTTTGCAAAGAAAATATTAATAAAATCATTTAATTTAGACGTAGTTGGTGGACATGTACATGTTGTATGTCAAGTCAAGAATATACAATTGGATTTTTAAGATTTTGCAAACAAGTAATAAATCAATAAACATTTATTTATTTTTCTAACCGGAATTTTTTTCTTAAGGCAACACTTCAATTTTGCTTAGTCAAACCTTTAATGTCAATTGTCATACTTATTTTACAAACATTTGATAAATATAAAGATGGAGATTTTTCAGCTACCGATGGTTATCTTTATATCACATTTATCTATAATATATCAGTTTCAGTTGCACTTTATGGTTTACTTCTTTTCTATGAAGCAACTAAACATATTTTAGCTAAATATGATCCTGTATTAAAATTTCTTACCGTTAAATCGGTGATATTTTTAACATTTTGGCAAGGTAAATAGATTTTCTATTTTTCGTATAAATAAAATTAGAAATATAATTTTATTTTCAGGAGTTCTTTTGGCTCTTTTTGAACAATTGGGTATTATTCAAGCATTTCAAGGTAAAACAAATTTAAGTGTTGGTACTGTTGCTGCTGGTAAGTAAAAATTCTTTTGTTTTTTCGTCATTTAAAATTAAGTTTTTAGGTTGGCAAAATTTTTTTATCTGTATTGAAATGTGTTTGGCTGCTGTGGCACTTCGTTTCGCATTTCCACACCAAGTATATACAACACGTGAAAATTATCTTTCAGGATCATCATCAAATTCTGGCCAAGGATCATCAACTACCGGTGCAAGAGTTGTAACAATGCAAAGTATTTCAACTAATCTTAAAGAAACAATGAATCCAAAAGATATTATGCATGGTAGATTTAATAATTTTATTAAGAAAAAATATCTTTTTTTTAATTTAATATTTATTTTAGATGCAATTCATAATTTTCATCCTCAATATCGAGATTATACACAATATAGTGCACGTGTAAGATTATTCTGTCTATCCGTATTGTGAATTGATCGATTCGTTGTCTGTCTTATGAATATACAGATAGATTTCTTGGGTATATTTAGGCTTTCTGGTGATAGATATTAATACGACTATAACTCACGCTTTTTTTTAATCAATTTTTTTCTTCTTCTAAATTATCTTGTGTATTTATATATGTGTAGGCAAACGATGATCGATCACCAGCATCAACATATGGTTTAAATCAACATTCAACTAGTGCCTTATCATCAACTAATACTCCGACACCTGGCGATACTTCTTATCATGAAGGTGGAACACCTACAACTCCAACAGGATTTCCTGTTCAAGCTCCACCAATAACAAATACTCAAAATCAAAATACAATTCTTCAGAATTTATCAGGAAAATTAATTCCAAAATCTTTTTCAAAGAAAGATGCTGAAAAAGATATGTTATTACTCAATGATGATCTTTAAAAATACATATTTATAACCTTAAAAATATTCTAGTCAACTGAAATGAATCATATATAACATTCTCTATCTTTTTTTTGTTCCATATTTTATTTTTTGATGTTGTTATTGTTATTGTTGTTGTTTAACCATAAACTTTCGTGACATTCTTATATATCGTAGAGAATTATATTTGATTTGTAACATCTAATCTTGTTTTTATGTTGTTTATCATTTTATTTATTTATTCGATTGATAATCAGAATTACTTGGAATAGAAATTCTTATTTGTTGTGACATTCAACTTTTTCGCGTCGTTGTTGTTGTTGTGTACAGATAACTATATTAATTATATCAAAAACAAAAAAAAGATTTGAAAACATAGATTATTCTGTTGTATTTATTATTCATATAAAAAAAAAGAATCTGTATGTTTAACGTATTATCTCTATGTATATTGTAATTTATTTAACAGAAAAAAAAACGTTTTGTTCTTTATTTTAGATGATAAAATTTATTGTATTTAGTGCTTTAGTTGTCCTTATCGATGGGGAATTGAAATCGAATATTTTATGTCTAGGTCGAAATACAACTAGTAAATCTATTATTGATTATTGTTTATCTCAAAATGGTAGATTAGAATCTCGATGTTGTCTTTCATCAAATTTAACTCAGATTTTGGCTATTGATTTAACTGATATGAATTTAAATAAAGTACCTAATTTCAGTGAATATAACGATTTAATAACTGTAAATATGATTGATCTTCGAATAAATCCTCAATTAAAATCTTCTGAAGATGATGATTTTCTTCGTATGCAATCACTTAATTATCTTTTCTTACCTAAACAAGTTCAATGTCCTGGTAATGAAAGTGTTTGGAAAATAATTAATCAAACAATCGATCCAACAGGCATTGCTTGTATCGAACAAAAAGATTTTTGTCTAAATTCGACATATATTTGTCCTGCATTAAATTCATATTGTGTTACAAATGGACCAAATCATTATTTATGTTTATGTAAAGATGGTTATCATGGTTATAAATGTTTAAGACACGGAGAATTTCCAAAATTAGCATTTTTCGGTATAACTGTAGTTATTACTATAGTTTTAAGTACTTTTTTCTATTTAACACAACGACGAAATATTAAAAAGGATTAGAAATCTAATGAAATTCTTTTGTTATGAACAAACAAATGCAATTAGATCTGTCTTTCATGTAAAAGAGTAAATTATTAATAGAAAGTTATAAAAAGGATTGGATTTTTATATTATGTGATAGAATTTATTTTTCTGTTCTCTCCCTCTATTTTTGTGTCTATGATAATTGTTATCTTTTTTCTTTCTTTCTCATATTATTGATCTGAATAAATAATCGATCTATTCCAAGAACTGAAATTTTTATCTAAGAATCGTAAATATCCACAAAGCTATTATAATGGGTTCTGCTCAATTAATGATAAGTCTAGAATAGTATCATATAAAATTGAATATTGATATTTTTAACAATTACTAATCATAGAATACATTAATATTGTTTTTTAGATAACCATACACTATGTGAATAGAAATTCTAATTAGATAAACTCATTCTATTAATATTTTATCGATATAAAAAATTAATATACTAATATAGAAGAAATATCGAAAACAACTTAACTATACATCGAGGGTGTGTACTATGATAAGACGTTTATATCACACTTAAAGAAACATGCGCAATATTCTCTTCTTTTCTTCTATTAAATATTTATTTACCATATATATATGCGCATCGTATAGACATACTTTACTGATATTCTAAATATTTCGAACAGAAAAAATTCTCACATTTCGTCTATTTCAGATTTAATATGGCTGAAGCTAAATCTAATAGTACTAGTGGTATTCCTTCAGTAATGAAAGCTGCTCAACAAAATGGTTATGGAGATGCACGTAATGTTTTAACACTTCGTGATGATGTACCTGTACCACGTGAATTATCATCAAAACAAATTCTTGTTCGAGTACATGCTGCTTCAATAAATCCAGTTGATTGGAAAGTTTTAAATGGAAATATGTCATTAGTTACACGTTACTCATGGCCTCATATACCTGGCAAAGATGTTGCTGGTGTTATTGTTGATGTTGGATCAGGTGTTAAACGTTTTCAAGTTGGTGATAAAGTTTATGGAAATCTTGGAATGAGTGATGGGAGTTTTGCTGAATATGCACGTGCTGATGAATCTGCTTTTGCAATAAAACCAAATAATTTAACAATGGAAGAAGCTGCAGCTATACCATTAGCATGTGAAACTAGTTATCAAGCTTTATTTACGAAAATTTCACCACCTATTGGAGAAGGTAGTAAAGTATTAATTTGTGGAGGAAGTACAGCAACTGGTTTATATGCAGTTCAATTAGCTAAAGCAGTTGGAGCTTATGTTACAACAACATGTTCACAAAGAAATTTTAGTCTTCTTGAAAAACTTGGTTTGACCTTTTTTATTTTTAATCAATTTTATAACAAAATTTTGTTATAGGTTATAAAACATCTCAAACAACTGCTGATCAAAATCAAGTACATATTATTGATTATAATGAAAAAGATTTTGGAAAAGAACTTAAAGGTAAATATATATTAAAAATATATTATATATTTAATTTATTTATTTATTTTTAGGGCAAAATTATGATGTTGTGTATGATTGTGTAGGTGGACAACAACAATGGACATCAGCACAAGAAATATTAAAACGTAATGGTCAATTTATTACTATTGTTGGTGATGATACAAAATCTACTGTATCAGTAAAAGCAGCATTTTCAGTTGGTTCAAGTATAATTAATCGAAAATTTTGGTCTGTTTTTGGTTCATTACATCATAATTATATATTTCATTTTTTAAATCAAAATTTTCAAAATCTTAATGATATGCGAACAAAATACATTGAAACAGGAAAAGTTAAACCAATAATTGATACTGTATTTGATTGGCGAAAAGATGGTGTTGAATCATTATACTCACTCTATGAAAAATCCAAAAGTGGTAAAGCACAAGGAAAATTAATTCTTAAAATAGCTGATGAAGAATAATTATCATGAACATTTTTTATCTTTTTAAAAGAAATTTTCATTTTTTTAATAAACATGTCGTCTAGGTTAATAGATTATTCGATTCACGTATTTAGGAAATGTCATTGAGCTTTATCGGTATAATGTTTCTTTAAATAGATCGAGATAAACAACGTTATAACCTTGTACACGTTTATACAAAAAAGATCATTACATATCGTTTATAAACGCTGTTAGTGTTTACGTACGTAAATATATTCTTAAGCACAAAAAAGACCTATTGTATTAAGAAAAAATAATATTTATTATTTATTCAAAATAATCCCCCGCTATCGATAAAATTAATAATAATTCTTAACATTAAATTTATGTCAATCATATATTTATTTTCTAGTAATCTCAATAGTCTGAACTTTATTATTAATTTATTCATCTTTCATCTTGAATGCTATTTTATTTATTTAGAAAAAATTATAAATCTAAAAATAGAATATTCAAAAATCAATGATAGAAAATGCATACTTGTGACAATTATTTTCTTTCTATCATAAAAATCATCATGGGAAAAGAAAACGAATGGTTTGCCGTTTCTTTTTTTCTTCTTCTTCTATGATTATATTTAACATGCAGACATGCCCTTGGACTTATTAATAGAAATTGAAATAACAGTTGTCTTTAACAAATAGATTGACCTTATTTTATGTAAAATAAAACTGTCAGAAATGGTTTTCTGTTAATCTATAATTATTACTATTGCTTTTCGATATACATATATACATGAAATTATCTTTATAGGGGATAATAAAATTTAGTCATATGTTTTATCTCATATTTAAATAATCAAAAGTCGATGTCATCAGCATATCAATTAGTTCTTTTGTTTCTTGAACTTCTTCTCTACTAAATAATCATGTATATTTATCAAAAAATATATTTTTAATTATTCAAAGTAAATACCCAAAAAAAAAGAAGAAAATCTTATGTTGAGTTATATTTAACAAATAGACGAAACTTGACAGGTTTCAATTGAGTCAATGATTGATCGCAATAATAAATTATTCTTTGCTCTTTTTTTATACAATGAAACAATAAAAACAAAAAAATAAAGTACGGAAAAAGACGAAAGAATACCTAAGATAAAATGTAACTATAAGACGGATAAAAAAAATGGCGTGTCCTTAATCTTCATTCAATTTACGAACATAACACCCTTTCGCTTTTTCTGTTGTATTGTATAGTACGATAAAAGAGAAAAAGAATCCAGACCATTAGAAGAGAATAAGAAGAAAGAAAAAAAAAGAAAAGACGAGAGAAATGGAGAAAGAGAGAGAGAGAGTGAAACGTGACATGGAAGCATGCAGAATACCAAAACATACGTTATATAAAAGAGCTTCTCATACTGTCACACACATTGAATGCGTTAGTAAAAAAGTTATATAATCAAAGTAAAAGATAAAGTTTTCAAAAACGGTTATGTTACACGCTGGTATTGAAGCACTTTTTGGTCGAAGTCGTGATCATCATCGAAAACGACATTTATTTAGTCTACGTCGTCGTCATAATGATCATAAACAAGAAGAAGATGATGAATTAGCAAAACTTTTTTCTAGTAAACCACATACTGAAAAAACGATTACACATGGTCAAAATTATGCTTTTGCTGCAATGCAAGGTTGGCGTGCATCTATGGAAGATAAAAATAAACAATTACTTTCATTTGATAATCGTTCATGGAAATTATGGTCATATTTTGCAATATTTGATGGACATAATGGTAAGAAAGAAGAAAAAAACAAACAATCTATTTTATAATAAAAAAAAAAAAATTTTTCTTTTTTCATTATATGTAAGGTATTGATACAGCAAAACATGCTGCTGATCATCTTGATATTCATTTATTACAGTCACTTAATGAAATGCTTACTCATTCCAATGATGATGCAATAAAAAATGGTGAACCAGTTCGGTCATCGCAATTAGATTTAACACATTTACGAGCTGTTATTAAACAATCATATTTTGAATTAGATAAAGATTTAAGAACATTGGTTAAAGATGATAGTGGTTGTGTTTGTGTATGTTTTGAATAATTTTCTTTAGAGAACAAAAATAAAATTTTAATTTTTTCATCTTTAGATAACATGTCTTATTGGTCCCGAACAAATTTATCTAATTAATATTGGTGATTCTCGTGCTATTATTTTTTCTAAAGATGGACAAATATTAGCACATACTGAAGGTAAAAATATTACTTTTTAATACAATGTATACATATACATATATGTATTTAGATCATAAACCTGATGATCCTGCTGAACAAGAACGTATACATGAAGCTGGAGGAAAAATATCTAAACCATGTCCTGGTGATGTTTTACGTGTTGAAAATCAATTGGCTATGACACGTGTATTAGGAGATTTTAGCATGGATAAACATATTGTACCACCTATGGCAGATATTGTTGAATATCCAAGAAATGAATTAGCAGCTTTTGTTGTACTTGCATGTGATGGTATTTGGGATGTAATGACAAATACAGATGTTGCTAAATTTGTTGTTGAACGTGTGGAAAAAACGAAATTAGAAGATATTGCAGCAGAATTAATAGATCAATGTCTTCATCGAAATAGTACTGATAATATGAGTGTTTATATTGTAAAGCTTTAAAATTTTATTGTATATTAAATACTTATGAATCAAATTTATACTATTTTGTCATTTATAATAGTAGAAAATAATTCTATCAGTGAAACATTTTTTTTTTGATTATATTATATTCATGCATTCGATAAATAGTCTTATTTATTACGTCAATCGATTGGAGAATATTTTAAATGCAGACCATTAGCATTTTCTAACTATTAACGATATTCATTTCCGTAATTGAATGTATATTTATCTCAAGTTCTTTTTGTGAAGTATCATCTTATTATGAAAAAGAAAAGAACTTGGCATGATTTTATTATATAGCTTAGCATGACGTAGTATACTGTAAATATTCTATTCTAATAATGACAAAGCGTGTGCCTTTCTTTTTTGTCTTCTTTAACTATTATGAATTCAACATTGGTATCTTCTTTCTTTTCATTGTTGACTTTTATCAATACTAGTCGAGTGGTAGAATGCGTTCTCAGCCAGATACACGTCGAAGTACATCAGCTTTATTATATGATGAAAATGAAAAAACCATTGATGCAATATTAGATCAACAACCATTATTAGGATATACAGATATTGATGGTGATAATAATATACATGAACCATGGCATCGACGAATTTTTGCAAGACATAGTTTGTTGATAGTTTATTTTATTAAAAATAGATTTTTAAAGATATACTATTTAATATTTAGTTGTAGCAACATGGACGTTTTTTGGTTTTCTTTGTTTATATATGCTTCGTGTTAATTTATCAGTCGCTATTGTTGCTATGACAACACCACAAAGTGCTACAAATCAATCAGTAGAAGCATGTCCATCGCCTAATGATTCAAGTAGTACTCCAGCCAAGGTTAATAAAACAGAATCTTTTACTTTTAGAATTTTGATATATGATTTATATTTATTTTTATTAATAGCATGGCGATTTTGATTGGAATCCTCGTACTCAAGGACATGTACTTGGTTCGTTTTTTTATGGTTATATTCTTTCACAATTTATTGGTGGTAAAACTAGAATATACAATGTGAAACTATTTTTTTTGTTGTTTTCTTATGATATAAATAGGAATATTAGCTGAACGATATGGTGCTAAATGGATATTTGGTTGTGGTCTTCTAGGAGCTGGTCTTCTTACACTACTTTCGCCAATTGCAGCTAAAACTCATGTTGGTCTTCTTATTGCAACGCGTATTCTTATCGGTGTATTTGAAGTAGAAATTTCATTATTTATTTAATAAGATTAGTGCATATATGTATATCTATATTTAGGGTCCAGCATTTCCAGCTGCAGGTGCATTATGGAGCCAATGGGTGCCACCTTTAGAAAGAAGTATCATACCACCTATTGCTCATGCTGGTATGATTTTATTGATTTTTTAAAATTAAACGTATATATTTTCGTTCATCGTTTTTAGGAAAAGAAGTTGGGGTTGTTGTCACTACTCCATTAGCTGGTATTTTATGTGCATCAGCCTTTTTAGGTGGTTGGCCATCATCATTTTATGTTTTTGGTTAGACTCATAATCATAATATTTATACACTTTAATAGATTCTTATTTTCATAGGTGTTATAACTTGTATATGGTTTATTTTCTGGTGCTTTTTTGCTTATAATAGTCCTTCACAACATCCACGATGTTCAAAGAAAGAACGAGATTATATAACTGCTGTTCTACCAAAACCAAAGAAAGTTTGTTTAAGAATAATTCTATTTTTTATGTATTTCAATAATTATTGTCTAGTTAAAAACTCCGTGGTTAGCAATTGCTACTTCGATTCCTTTTTGGTCAATTGCTATTGCATCAACTTGTGTTCAATTTGTTTATTATGTTTTATTAACATCATTACCAACTTATTTTGCAACTATATTAAGATTTAATTTACAAAAAGTATTTTCTTTTACCAAAAAAAACAGACCAAATTAAAATTTTTATTTATCAATAGAATGGTTTTATGTTTGCTATTCCTTATGTATTTATGATGATTGTTATTGTTACGAGTGGTCAATTAGCTGATCATCTTCGAGCACGAAAAATAATGTCAACAACATCTGTACGAAAACTACAAACAATTATCGGTGGTGTTGGTTCATCATTATTTCTAGTTCTTATCGGTTATGTTGGATGTAGTAAAGTAGCAGCTATGTTTTGTATTACATTAGCGGTTGCTTTTATTGGTTTTCATTCAAGTGGTTGTCAAATATCACATCTTGATATTGCAAGCAATTATGCTGGTTTGTTTAAAGAAAGAAATATAAAGATTTAATTCTAATATTTTCTAGGTACTCTTGTTGGTATTACAAATACTCTGGCTTCAATACCAGGTTTTGTTGGTCCTGCTATGGTTGGTGCTATTACAAATAATAATGTAGGACAACTTTATATTCTTTTTCCTTTTTTTAATTTCTTTTTAATTAATTAGCAAACCCTACATGCTTGGCAAACTATTTTTAATTTATCTGCAGGAATCGGACTCTTTGGTTGTATCGTCTATTGTATCTTTTTTGACGGTAATGAACAATCATGGAATCGAAATGATATTGAAGAGATTACAGAAAATTAAATGAGAATAATTCATTGTTTTAACAGTATTTAAAGAAAAGAAAAATATAGTTAAATTTTTATTATAGAACATACGTTATAAATATGTGCAAAAAGCAAAGACTTTGATTTATTTATGTTTAAATGCAATAATAATTTAAATTCTAAAAAAAAGTATTAAATACAAAATGAATTAATTGAAACTGTAGTTTTCTGGTGCATTGTATGTAGGATTCCATGATAATTCAATACCTTCTAAGGAAGCAGATTTGATTCGTTTCTTCATTCGATTTTGTCGTAAAATTTTTGAAACCGGTGGTAATCGATTATTCTCATTAGTTTTACTTGGATTTTTAAGTAATAAAACACCATCTTTAAATAATTCACCATCTGGATTCTAAAAACAAAAAAAAAAAATATTAAAATCTTTAATACGAAATTCTACTTTATTTCTCGACGCCATATTATTTGTTGTTGTATCTAAAGAATGAATAAATGTATTATTAAATAAAACGAAGCTTTATTTATCTCATACATGGTCTACTTAATCGACTTGCTGATTGACGACATTCATATCGATGAAATGTATTCCATCCATTAACGAGACATGGTTTAGAACAAAATGATGTTTTTTGACATCGTTTACAAGCTGCAAGTCGTACACCTGTATTTCGACCACATGTACCACAATAACGAAATTCTCCCGTTAATCTAAAATAAAATTGAATAAATTATTTCTCTATGACATTGAATTTTTTACTTTGAATTATAATCAATAGTTTTATCGGTCATAATTGATTGATTTTGTGAAATTGAGCGTTGTGTTAATAAATTAACAGGACTTGACATAGGACTCTGAAGATCTGTATGAAAAAGTAATTTGTTTAAATAGATTAAAAACTTTTTTTTTCTAACAAACCTGTTGTTGATAAACGTAAGAATCCTTCATATTTCGATACTTCTTCGCGAAATCGTTTAGCTATAAAAGCAAGTAATTCTTTTCTTTGATTAAATATAATACGTTCTTGATTTGTTAATGAATGATATGGAGATTGAGATATTCGAGTATCCTAATATGAAAAATATTCGTTTTATTCACGAAAAAAATATTTGATATAACTTACAGCAAAAAACATATAATAAGCAAAATCAACTGCTGAACCTAGAAGATTTTTTGGACCAAATCGTACAGGATAAAGAACTCGAGGATTTTTTGCCATAAGACGTTCGATCTAAAATAAATAATTATGTTTCAAATCTTTTTATTTTATTCATATTTACTAATTGCAATCGTTTTGGATAAGTCCAACGATTTTCATAAAATGTTGATAATACCATACATAAAGCATTCCCATTTCCATAACCAAGTACAGTCGATGGATCAGTTGTTTCATGATTAAGAAGTAAATCAACTACAGATTCATTGCCTAAAGCAATAGCAAGTGATAGTGGTGTTTGACCATTACAAACAGCATTTGGATTTGCTTGATATTGAAGAAGAAGTCGAATAAGATTTAATGTATCGACTGATGCTTCTCGTGTACATGCAATATGCAAAGGTGTACGACCGTTTTGTTGATTTTTATTCTAAATTTAAAGATTATTTTTTCTCACAACAAGCAAAAATAAAAAAAACAAATTTACCGTTTTATTGATTTCAATAACAAGTGGATCAACAAGAGTTAAATATTCTTGATTGTTAGGAAATGATTCTGCATTAACATCAGCACCATGTTCTAATAATAGTCGAGCAATATCAATTACATTAGATGATAAGCAACCACATGCAACATGTAATGGAGTTAAACTTGCATGACGAATAGCATTTAATCGACAATTAACTTTAGCTTTTTTCTTCAATAATAATTCAACCATTTGTTTATCACCAGCTCGAACAGCAAAGATTAGAACAGGCAAAGGCCAATCACTATATGATGGATCAGCACCACGACGAAGAAGTAGACTAATGTAAAGAAAATTAATATTACTAAATTAAATATAAATTAAAATATACACTATCACAGAATAAACAGATTCACGAAATTGTTCATCACGAATACGTTCTCGAAGATCACCCGTTAATTCAAATCCATATGAAACTAAGAATATTCAATAGAAGTTATCATCAAAAATAATTTCTTCTTACTGCTTTTTTCTGAATCATTTATTTTCATTGTTTCTAATAATGTTGGTAATTTAAGTTCATCTACAATACTTATATTATTTTCAATAGGAGGTTCTTGTTTTATTTGTATTGAATTATTTTTATCCTTGGAAATTAATATTCGAGGATTTGGTATTATAGGATCTACATGTTCTAATGCTATATTAATTGTTTGTTGATGATCATTACCATAATAAAGAAGAAAAGCAAGAATAAGTGGAGTTAATCCATCATCTGATAATTGATTAACATTAGCACCAAAATCAAGAAGAAGACTTATTATATTTATATGTATATTATAAGTTGCAAAATGTAAGGCAGTTAAACCATGAGAATCACATACATCAACATATGCAAGATGTTGCATTAAAAGATGACGTACATCTTTTTCATAACCATAATAGGATAATTCAAATAGATTTAATGACGCATTTTCTAATGGTCCTGGATTAGGAAAGGAAGAACGATTTGGTTTACTTGAAATAATATCATCAATAGGAAATGATGCTCGTTGTTTTAATGGCCAAAATTTATTTGCATAATTATATAATAATCGTTGTTCATATGTTTCATTTGGTGGGAAAATATCGGCAGTTCGTTCATTTAAAATTCGATTTTTTAATTCATTTATATCATTTTTATCATAAATACTTGATAAATAAGCATCTAATTCTGTACGTTTATTATGCATAGCTTCTTGTGCACCATCGGGATGTTCAGTAATAAATCGTGTTAAAAATTTATTATCATTTAAAAAACTTAATGGAGATTTCTTTTTTAATAAAAGATTAAAATCTGATACAGTTCGAAGTAATTCTTCAGGAGAATACCATGATGGTATAATTGATGAAGATGAATGTGAACATTTTTTATCTGTAATATGAATATCTAAGATAAGTTTGGGATGAGGATAAAGTAAACGAATAAGATCTTCACTTAACCATAAACCAACATCAGCACTTTGAAGAGATTGATAAATTAATATACCTGGACCAAATCGTTCGTCATGACAATATAAACCTTTAAATTCTGAAGTATTTGGAACATGAAAAATTCCAAAACCATGTCGTCTATCAGCAAAAAAAGCGCCTGTATACGTTCGACCATCAGCCCAAGATAAAACACCTTTGCCATGTTTTTTTTCCTCATAAACATCACCTGTATATTTCTATAAATTAATTTCATTAATATTATTCTTTCATATTTAAAAACACTTACACATTCATCATTTGTTGTCTGTTCTATAAAACTATGCACTGATGATACAACATCTGGACCGACACCAATTGATACCATACTAACTTCATGTGGATTAACATTACGGAATGAATCACCAATGACTAAAATAATGATAGTAAAAATAAAAATTTCGTACTTGATTAGAAATTTACTTGATGATGCATCTTGAATTGTATCATCAGTTATTTTTTCTTGAGAATTACTTTTTAATGACATATTTCACTATTTGCAACAGCAATAAACTAGAGAATGATCATTAAAATTAACGAACCATAAAAAACTTCAACTCATAAAATATTCCATTACATTAAAAGAAATGAATCATATAAACAAATAGAAACACAGGTGCCATTCACACCTTACAACACCTAGGAAATGTTATGCGTAGTTACCATTGATTCACTTGCAAATAATTATCAACAGATGCCGCAAACCTATTGATTGTTTTTATATTATAGATTAATAGATTAGTTTGATTAATATAGTACTTATTTTTTAAGTGAGTTATTATATTATTCTATATATGATGAAAGATGTATCCGGTTGATAAAAATTTAATTAAATAGTTTTTAATCATTTAATTAGTCATCAATGACGTTATTATAATTACAATAGACAAAATCAAATGAATAAAAACGTACTTAATGACATATATATATTGAGATTCTAAAGACCAAGTGTCTATAGTCTATGAGAAATGTGAAAAAACACGTGCATAAGCCATCTATATTATGCACTCTTTCATCTCTATTTATATATAAATATATAATGATTGATATACAATGAGACAGATAAATCAGACGATAATGCAATAAGCAATAATATTATGATTATAAAATAAGTGAGAATATTTTTATCGTTTTTACTTTTGTATAAAATATTAAAAGACTATGTCGGCAGATAAAGATAAACAATCAAAAATTAAATTTGATCATGAATGGTATTATTGTTGTCTTCCATTAGTTGATACAAATATTAATATACATGATATAACAAATTCAAATAGCAACGATGATTATCAGTGGTCTCCAATACAATTACCACATACTATTATTAATGATGAAGAAAATAATGATACTATCGATAAAAAACAATATAATTGGTGGTATCGTAAACAATTCGAATGGAAAACGTGTCTTAATGATTCAGATAATCGATTTTACCTTTCATTTGAGTCACTTAATGATGATTCATCAGTAAATACTTTTACAGTTTGGTTAAACGAAACTGAAATATTTTCAAATTCATTTCATTCACCAAATATATCAATTGATTTAACTGAACAAATTATCTATACAAATGATTCAGAAGAAACTGACAGAAAAAATACATTATTAGTATGTTGTAATAATGTTGCGCTTGCTCTACATGTTTTTCTAGTTTTACCATATGATATTCATTATGCAATTGAACAAAAAAATACGGAGGTTGATGATATTACAGTACCTTGTAGAAAAAATCGTGTTCTCGATTATCTTGTTAATTTTAATGATATTACTGACACGGAAGAAAATATAGAAGTTGAGAAAAAGGAAAAAACTTATTTTAAGTTATCTCCGAAAGAACATGACATTTTCAATTATTTAGTGAGTTCTAATAATATTGATATTAATAATAATTCAAAACAATCAAATCTACCTGATATTGTTGTTAGTGAATATCATGATCAATCAAATAAAGAGAAGATTGAAGAACTTCACGTACCTCGTCTAACTATTGTTATGCTTATTGTCGGGACCAGAGGTGATGTGCAACCCTTTATTGCGTAAGTTATTATTTAAATATAAAATATCTTTTATAATTTTAATTGACTGAACTTTTTCTAGTTTTGGACAAACACTTTGTGCAGCTGGTCATCGTGTTCGTTTAGCTACACATGAAAAATTTCGAAAATATGTTCGTGAACATGACTTAGAATTTTATCCTTTAGCGTCGAATCCAGAAGATTTAATGTCATTTATGGTTAAGAATGGTGGTATTGTCCCATCCTTAAACAGTCTTATGCAAGGTGATTTGAGAAAGAAACGTGATGATGTTTCAAAAATTCTTCATTCTACATGGCTTGCATGTACAGAAAATGATGATGAAACATCAGCTCCATTTACAGCCGAAGTAATTATTGCTAATCCACCATCATTTGGTCATATACACTGTGCACAAAAATTACAAATTCCTTTACATATTATGTTTACAATGCCTTGGTCACCTACAACTGAATTTGCACATGCATTTTGTAAAATTGATCATTCGAAAGAACCAAAAGAAAAACTTAATCTAATATCATACGATCTTATAGAAACGCTTGTAAGTATACATAGAAATATTTGCTTATCTAAATATTTGTTTTTAATCTAGACATGGTCTAGTTTGCGTGATCTTGTAAATGATTTTCGGCGAGACACATTAGGTCTTCCACCAGTACATAAACGTCAGGCAATACGTATGTTAATTGATGAACAAGTACCACATACTTATTGTTGGTCACCATCTCTTGTTCCTGCTCCACGTGATTGGCCACACTATATTAATGTTTCTGGCTTTTTCTTTCTTAATAATAATAATGATAATTTCAAACCACCAGATGATTTAGCTGCCTTTCTTGGTCTTAATAATGATAATGAAAATAAAGAAAAACTATCATCACCAATTTATATAGGTTTTGGTTCTGTTACAGGCAATAATTCAGATCATCTTCTTCAAGTTATATTGGATGCTTTAGAAGAAACAGGCTATCGTGCTATACTTTCTGGTTTTGAGGACAATGATGATGAACTACCAGAGAATATTTTAAAAATTTCTGATGTTCCTCATGATTGGCTTTTTCAACATGGTAAGATTCTTAAGAAAACAGCATCGGTAAATTTTGAATTATTTTGTTTTTTAGTTTCTGCTGTATGTCATCATGGTGGTGCAGGTACTGTTGCAGCTGGACTTCGTGCTGGTAAACCAAATATTGTTGTACCTTTTTTTGGTGATCAATTCTTTTGGGGCAGTGTTGTAGAAAAATGTGGTGCAGGTCCAACACCATTACCTGGAAAACGAATAACGGCCAAAAAATTAGCTGAAGCATTAACGGCTGCTCATGAACCAGCAGTACAAGTTGCTGCTGAACGTATTAGTAAAGCTATATCTGATGAAGATGGATGCGCTACGGCATTACGTATGTTTCACACTCATTTACCTCTTTCACGTATGCATAGTGATCTTGAATCAACATTTGTTGCATGCTATCGTATTGATGAATATGATTTACAAGTATCAAGACCAGTAGCTCAAGTACTTATAGCAACAGGTGCTCTCGATGAATCACAATTTACTTCGCATTCTACTCGAGAATGGACATATATATATGATCATCGTATGCATGTGCCGACTGGTGGTATTGTCAAACATACACACAAAGCTCTTTCTCATATATTTGTTCATTCTGCTAGTGGTATGAGACGAGCTGTCAGTAGTGGTAATCTATTAACAGGAGTTGTTACTGGTGTCGCTGGTGTATGTAAAAATATGGGTAAAGGTGTCGGTTCTCTGTCTGTTGGAGTCTTATCCTTGTATGGTGAATTAACAGATGTACTTGATCGTGCTCCATCATTATACGATCCGTATAGGTAGGATTGTATTTTAATTTTCAAAGTTATTGTAATATTTATAATTAATTTTTAAATTAAGTGAATTAGATGCACACGAACGACCGCGTGTGACTGATTTTAAATCTGGTGCTAGAGCAGCTGGTCAATCAGTTGCATATGGCTGGAAAGATGGTGTCACAGGATTTGTTAGAAAACCACGTATAGGTTATCGTCGTCATGGAATATTAGGTGGTGCGACAGGACTATTCGTAGCTACAGTTAATGGTGTTGTAAAACCGACTTCAGGTTCACTCGCTTCAGTTACTTGGTTAAGTCGTGGTATGTATGCTAGTATGAAGAAGAAACGACGAAGCACTCCAACAGATGAAAAACAAACTCTTATTAATAAAATTTCTGTACAATCCTCATCTGATCGTGACGATGATGATGATGATGTTCCAAGGAACATAAAATTTGCATCAGTCGTTTCTGGTTATTCTATTGAAATTTGTCAACATATCTTAGATGAATTTAATAAAATTAAAAAACGTTATGAAGAAAATGATACTTCTTCACAAAATCAATCTGATAACAAACATCATCCTAAACAAAAATGTAGACGAAGTCGAAGGGATTCAGATTCTGCACTCTAAATACAATACTAATAAATTGATTTTTTATGCACTATTTTTTTTATTTATTCAAATAGAAGAAAAAATATTGCTTGTAACATATCTTCTTTTTCGAGACGAACAATTCAAGATAATAGCCGAATCGTTATGTGAAGGTTCGGAGCAACTATTAAAACAGTATTAGAGGAACTCACCCAACAATATAAATTATCTGAATAATTCCATTGATGACACACTTTTCATTTGTTAATAATTTTAATGTATTATTTATTTTTATATGAAGAATATATATAAACAAAAAACTATATTAACGAAGAAATATAATTAATTAAAGACGTAAAATATGAAATTGATAGAAGTTGCTTTTATTTTTTCTATAATATTCAAAGGAAAACAACAAAAGACAAAGAAATTTGATTAAAATCAAATAATTTTAAGTTCATGCTCATACCGCTGGTCATGTGCTTTCGAGAAATTTGTTTTTAACTGTTGAATATCAAAATGTTGATTAGCGCTTAAACAAAGAGTTAACTTGAACTGACGTAGTGATAACAGATGACGAGCCAATACATTCGCCAACCACTGCGATTGCTTGAGATTATTTATCATATCGATATTCATTATGGATTGCTGAAGATAAAGATATTGTAGATTAGGAAGACGTACGAACAAGCTATTGAAGGGCAGTTCATCGAAAGACAATTGATCAGTAGTAATAGTCAAGTGTAATCGTTGAAGTTTTTCGTGTTGTTTTAAATCAGCCAAAGTGACGGATAACTTTGGTATTGTTATCTTAAGACAATGTAAATTAGGACATGCAGCAAGAAACATATGAATACGAGAAAAATCTGAAGTAACATCTAAAAAGTGAATCGACGGTGTTTGTGTCCATGTATTAGTTAATGATGGTGGATGAGAAGCCTTGTGAATAAAAGATTTTAAACATGGAAAATCATTCGTAAATATTCTTTGATAGATCGAACGTGAAGCACCACCTTGGCCTTTTACTTTGACAGTCAAATGTTCTAAATTATCCAGCTGATTGATCACATGTTCGATTTTTTTCTCAAATGATTTAATGAAAATCACATGACGAATATTTGGAAATTGATGGAGATTATCAAGAAGACGATTGCGATCAATGATTAATGTATGAACTCGTAGTGCAAATAAGTGATCATGACGAATTCTAGAACGTCCATTATAATGTATATAAATATACAGTCGATCGAGGGATTGTAGGAGAGCATTCAAACGCAAATTAAGACCATAGAAAGCATAGTAAGTATCACGAGCATCCAAATAATCAAATATTTCAATCAGAATTTCATTTGGTAATAATTCAAATCGAGAAAAATCCATATTTATATAAAAGAAATCAAAGAAAATAAAATTATTTATTCGGAATAATAAGTTGTTGTAAATTTGTAAGTTATGAATAACACATGTGCACACTGAAAATTCGAAAGACATCGTTATCCATAAGTATTTCTTACTATAATCTTAGCTTCGAAATATTAAATGAATAGTAAGATGTAGAAATAGAGGCCACTATTTCTCGGTATGTATCTATATATACGTTACCATTATATTCGAGAAAGCTTCTCTTTTCTCTTTCATATATCTATGAAATTTGTTCTTTTTCTTCTCTCTATCTTTCTATATAGCTGATTTTTGTTTCTAGTGTATCTTTTCTTTTTAAAATGTGAACCAAAATATGACACAATAAATATTCATGCTAGAAAAATTCGAAAATCAGGTTGAGATTCTCGAACTTTCAGTCACAGAGAATTAATATCTATGACTATATGTCTATTTTTACTAGTTGAGAAATATTATTTACAGTTCACAGAAAAGAAAGAAAAATGATGTGACTACTTGTTTGTATTCTATCAGATTAGTCAGCGAGGTATTACTGGAACTTATCTTTTCGAGATTCTTTTTTTACGAGATTCATTTAACTATAATGTGTTTATTGCTTATCATACTCTTTCAGCATTCCACACCTTATACTCATTCGCACTTTATATGTATCGAAAAACTGCTGGAATAAATCTCAAAATGCTTACGGATTTATTTAAAAGTTCCAGTAAACTAGAAAAAAATAAGCCCTGGTAGTTGGTGGATTCGCCGAAAAAAATTAAATTCAAATGAGAACAAACTGATTTTAGAATTTCTCCCTCGATCCGCGCTGCATCGAACTTTCGAAAAGCTCGACATAGCATGGTACATAGTCCGTGTTAAGGGAGAGTTTATTTAAATCACCAGACCCTCAAGATTTCCGTTTTTTCACTTTATTTTAGTGATAAAAAGAATAGAAGACTACGCGAAGATGATATTCCGTTCATCTTATTTATTTTTGATCAGAATTGGAAAGAAATTCTTTTTTCAAATACGCTATTCTCCATAGAAATAACAAATATAAAACAAGAAACGTGTTTCAATCAGTATCTGCGAAGAAACATAGTTTCTAATTTATTTATGAACAAAAATTTCCATGAACGTTTTCTTTAATAACTTAAGAAAAAGTAAAGATATTCTTTTTTTTCTTTTTCTGAAGTAATGGTTGATGAATAATAACTGAGGCGTATTTTTACGACAAAATGTATTCAACAAAATCAAATAATATGAAACACATATCGGAGAAAATAAATACTTTCACTCCTCTGAAAGAAAGGCAATTCCATTGATCTGACTAAAAATGTTTTCAGTTAATATCATCTTTCTACTTTTTATTGCCAAGACAGTAAGAATACATCCACTACTTCTATATCAACAAATATCTTGATAGTTATACTATGAGAAATTAAGATAAAAGGAAGTAAATTGTTTGAGAAAGCAATCGGTAGCCAGTTGAATACTATTTTTCTTCCTAAAGAAAATCATTTGATGTAATTAAAAGTTAAAAAATATCACTGAAAAAAAGAAAAGACTAGAATAGCATTTTCTGATTAAAACAAACGACAAACAAACGTCGTCAACAAATACCAACAAAAAGAAACGCGTTAATTTGAGACAGTTAGGATATAATTATTAGCTTTCATTACAGTTAATGTGAACGTAAATGCCTAGTTCAATACATTATAATTATTATCTTTATAGAGAAAAATCAGCTGCTTTCGTAAAACATAATAAACTATCGTGCATTGGTCAAACAGTTGTTCAATGCGTATTTGAAACTTACAGGTAAATTGAACTATAGTAGTTTTAGATGTAGAACTAATATTTAGGTGATTTATTTAAAGATTAAATAATATCATCGAAATTAGAGATTTGTACTGATAATGACAATACTTCACATGCAGAAAAATTGAGAGAGTTTATTTAAGTTCATTTTTCTGTTGTCAACACAAAGAATAAAACAAATTTTTTGCTGCATTATAATAATTATTTTCTTTCTGAATTCAGTAATTTCTTTCAATCTTTTTTCCTCTGATGTGGCTGTTGACTCTCAGTACATTTTTCACACGTATTACTCATCAAAACGCACTTTCTTATAGGATACTCATCTTCTGTAGTAGCAGTTGAATTTTCTTTTTTTCCTCTCTCTCTCTTGAGTATATAATATTGTGCTCTAAGTGCAAATTTGTGTTAGTGCTGGAGTACAAAAGTGAAAAAGGTAATTAGAAGTAATAACACTACATTTGAACATCCCTTTCCTCGTGAATTGTGTTACATCAATTTTCTTGTTGCCAGTTGTCTCTAAGGTAAGTGTTTATATCACCGCAGATACGAAAACTAATCCTGACTCGAGAAAAGCAGTACAAATTTAATCATAGTGTATACTTGCTATACGATATTTTCTCATGTATTGTAGTATCTAGTCCTATGACTAGGCATGCACCAAATCCCCACTGTTTCAAACTTTGCGTATTAGATTTGGGTTTAGCTGAGGGTTTTTAGTATCCGGTTAAAGTTTGGGTATTGAGTGTTGACTTCAGTTGAGAGATTGAGTATTGAGTCTGCGTTTGAATCAGATTTCAAAATCTTCGATACCTATGCCGCAAGTATATCTAGACTGACACTTAAACTCATTTCCCAAACCCAAACTGATATATCGAAACGGTTTGAGTTTCGGTCATGCCTACTTATGAACGAGAGATATTAGAACCTTCTATAATTACTACGCATTATTATGCTATTCAGATTGAAATTTACATCCTTTTTTTACTATAAAACTTTTCTTTCAATTTCTGTGATTCATAGGAGAAAAAATAACCGAAACCCTAGGGGCTGATTCGATATAAATCTTGGCGCGTCTGAGTTAGTGAGTTTTGTGAAGCGGTCCGTTCAGCCCGAAAAAGGGATCTTTCTAGGACCAACCGGTTCAGACCAGTTCACTAGGTGGAGTGGCCCGTTTTCAGCTAACTGATCTGTTCGAACAGATCACTCGAAACGGACTGATCGAGAATTGAGAGAGACCTATAGTTCGCCGCATTCTATGTTCCTACTGTAAGGAGATGCTCAGAGTCTGTAGATTCCTATTCTTAAAAAAATGGGAATACCTAAAGTCTCTCTCAGTACTCGATTGTTTCAAGTGGGTTCGTGAGCTTGAGATTATGTACTGTTACTGTCGAACCTCATAGATTGCAAATAAGCATATTAGGGAAAAAAGAAATGTTAATCATTCTACTTGAGAAATCACTGTATGCTAAATATATACCATGTGTTATTAAGACCACATTTCATTGATAATTCAATTATAGGAACGTGAGATGGAGAGAAGAGATAACCTACGCCGTTATCATCCTCTTCGACGATTTCTTATTGAGTTAAATCTTTTCGAAACGAATTTAAATGATGAACAAACGATCAGAATTCAACGATGGTCTACTCGCGTATATATTATGTTCCTCTTTGCTGCAATGTCCATTTTGCTTGTTTACAATGCATCAGCTGTTAAAATACAACAAATCGAAGTGCGAAGCCCATCTTTCGAAACATATTTGGAATTGCAAAATACCTACGATACGAACGTCAAATGTCCATGCACTGAAATATCTGTTTCATACCGTTCATTTGCCGAAATAATTCCATTTTACCATGAAATATGTTCCAGTACTTTCATTTCACAAAGCTGGATTGATATGCTCTTCAATGATCAGACATTCATGCAATATGTATTAGATTTTCGTGCAACAGCTAGTAATCAATTTCAGGTTTTACGAGAACTCTGTCAATTCTCACAAGCGTCTATCACTACTGACATTGAGGGATTCTACGATGATGAAATTATCTCAGCCTACTTACTGAGTGAGTCTTTATTAAATGCTCAAATGATATCCATTACTACAGCCTTTCGAAAGAGTAGTGTCGCGAATTTCCTTCGTTCTCTTTCGTTTATACGTAGGTATGTGATGGGAAATCAATTCATGACTGGAATTCAAACCGCTTATATGTCACTACTTTACTCAGAGGACGGACTAAACTGGTATGGAACGCAGTATACAACTATATTCGAACAACACGGAATTATTGACGATTGTCAGTGCTCTGTAAATGCCAGCTGTAATATGTGGTCTGCCTTCTACAATTATACGGATACTGACACGAGTGGGCAATTTAATTGGTCAACATCCACTGTAACTCTCCAAGTAGCAAACTGGTTCGCCGGTTGTTGGCCCTTGGAATCACTCCTTCTTTCGTCACTCGACAACAGTTTCTTGAATAATCAAAGTGAACTCGATGTCATAGCAGCATATTTCAATTGGTCGTCAAATTCGACGCATACCGCTCTGAACATACAGAAAGCAACAAATCAAAGCGTCATGTTCAATGATATTCTTGAGACTTTATTCATAGAGAATATCTCAACAGAACTCAACTATTCACTTTATTTTGCTCAATGTCGTCCAAAGTCGTGTTTATACTCAATCAATCAACACTCGAGCTTTTTATACATATTTACAGCTCTTCTTGGACTGTATGGAGGTCTATCGGTTGTTCTTCGATTACTGACTCCATATGTGGTCGGCTTCATAGTTCGATATTTGACTAAAACACCGCCTCAGCATCCTTCTATTCATATCGGTAAGTTTAAATTGAGATTATGCATATAAAACTTTCTATTTATATAGAGACAACAACGCAGACATGGAAACAACGAGCACAGACACTAGTAAAACCAATATGGAATTCTCTTATTAATCTCAATCTGTTCAAAGCATCACTTCGACAACAACCATCGGATATCAAACAACAACGGTGGACAACACGGATCTATATTACACTACTCATTCTTGCTCTTATCGTTTTAACACTTTATGGGATGTTGAGCTTCGAAATAAAACTGATTCAAGTAGAAAAACCTTCATTTAGTACTGTGCAACAATTACAGACTCAGTCTCAGACCAACTTAATTTCTTCTCTACAATGCTCATGTACAAATTTAACGGTACCCTATGGTCAATTCATTCAATTTCAGCCATTCTATCATCAAATATGCTCGAGTGATTTCATATCAGAGCGTTGGATAGATGCTTTCGATGATATAACCTCTGAGCTCCTGCAACAGAATGTGTTTGTCTTGGCCTATGTTGATTTTTTATTCTCTCAGACGCTATTTGTGCTTCTGAAAGGTCTGTGCAGTTTTTCTAACGAAACAATTGCTAATGCACTGCAGACATTTGAACAAAACCAACTAGTCGGTACTCAATTGTTTACAGTGGATGAATTTATAAATCAAATTTCCTCTGTTATCAATAAGTTTGAACTGGAAACAAAACATACCTTTTTACACTTTCTTCAACTTCTGCGTAATATTACACATATCAACCAAATTCTATCTGGCACAGGAAGTAATTATATTATTGATATTGCCAGTCCACCTAACTATACTACCTCTTTGTCTATCGCGACTTACAATGATGGCAATTCATCCGATATATGTTCGTGTGCAAATGATTCAAGCTGTAAAATGAATTGGGGCTTATTCACTGGAAATCCAGCAGTTATCCAAGTATATATTATACCTGAGTTCTATTATACGTGTCAGCCAGTTGAATCACTTTTACAATCAACACTTAAATGTTTCTACGACGATCAAGACTGTTTGGACATTATTATCAACTTTTATAATGTATCATCCTTTAACAACTTTACTCGGCTCAATTCTTCTTCACATGCAAGTCGTTTTATGAGAAATAGTACAATTGGTTCTCTACTTTCAGAAATGTTTATTGAATCTTGGTCTGAATCTATAAACTATTCATCCTATTTTGCCCAATGTCAACCATCGTCATGTTCTTATACGATTTCACAACGCAATAGTTTACTCGAAACATTAACAACAATTGTCGGTCTGATTGGTGGACTGTCTGTCTCTCTGCGCATTCTTGTTCCATTTCTAGTCATGGCATGTATTAGAGTTATTCAGCGCTTGTGTTCACAACATCAACGAACACTAACAGAAGCGAGTAAGAATATCTTTTATTTCTATTTTGAGCATCTTTAATGAAATAATTTTTAGCTTCTCCTTTGTCACATGTTGTGAGAGTCGGTACTAAGATTCGAGATTGGTTTAAGAAAGTGAATGTATTCGAAGATACAAATCGTACAATCACTATTCAACAACAATGTGTGGCAACACGTGTCTATTTACTTCTTCTCGTCATATCATTATTCATTGTCGTTCTCTACACTTCGCTGATCTATTATTTGAATACATTCACAATAACAAAACCATCTCTTGAACAATATCAACAGTTACAACAACGCTACGGATCAGAGGCCGTTAGTTGTCCATGTTCTCGACTGTCTATTACGTATTCATCATTTATTACATTGCAATGCGAATTTCATCCAGTGTGTACCAGTCCTTTCACCTCTGACTTATATTTACAAGAATTGTTTCAATTATACAATGATTCGGATTCGACATATGCAACAACGAACGCATTCACTCTTCAAGGCACTATTTTTAGTTATTTTCAAGCTCTTGCTGCCTTGTGCAATTTGGTAAATGATTTTGTCAACGATGCTGAACAACAATATCTTGTTTCCTCCATCATCTCCACCCTCATGATTGACTTCGATCTATTCGAGAAAGAGACAAATGCGTCATTCATTGAATTTCAATCAACACTACCAAATTCATTTATAAATTCGCTTCAAATAATACGTGGTCTAACGCAAGGTAATGGATTCGTCTCCGCGTATTCAACAAACTGGTATTATGTTACCAAGAATATTAATGAAGGGGCTATGCTGTATCTCAAACCACAGTATTATGGCGGTGACATGTGTAATTGTGCTACATCGCCAACATGCACTCAATCGTCGACACCTTACATCAAAGGGTATCTTGTTGGTTGTACTCCACTTGAATCACTCCTTCAAAGTACACTTGAATGTCTTTACGAACAGTCTTGCATTGATCTACTCACTACCTATTTGAATATGTCTTTATCGAACCATCTTGTACCGTTGAACAAAAGCGAAACTCGTTTTTCTTCAAATGGTACCGTTAACTCTATTGTTCAAGAAATGTTTGTCGAAATGTGTTCATCAAATGTCTCATATAATCAATTTTTCGAAGAATGTAAACCCGATTATTGTTCAGTGACAATACTCGAACCAGGCAGTTTTATCATTGTTATCACCACGATTTTGGGTCTTTATGGTGGATTGACAACTTTTCTCAAACTTGTCGTGCCATTTCTTGTCTTTTCAACTTACAAATTAATCAGAAAATATAAGCAAAGAGCACAAGTCGGAGTCCAACAGGTAAACGTGTATTTATAAAGTTGTTGGGCTCGATAGAATAAAGAGTCTCGATATAAGAGTAGCTTGGGAGTACGATCAGAGGGATACCAAGATAATTCTATTTTCTATACTTACCGACACAATGTAACTGATGCTTATTCTTTAGATTCCAGTGACTTCTTTGGATAATAACACGATATTGGTTGGCAACACCGATCATACTGTACATCTTTTCATTAAATCCAACCAACATTTACATCTCAATCCAAACTTTCTGGACTCAACTAATGTTTCCAGTGATGCTATTGCCGTAGGATTAGTGTCCACGGCTCCACCTATTTCGTATGTCTCTCTTCTTTTAATTTCATTCATAGTTTAGAGTTGTTTTTCTTAGAACAAGTTTCCTTCCATCAAGACAACGCTATCTCAAAATCATTGTTAGATTTATACTGTTTACAATTGTAGTAGTCGCCATCATTATTCCATCTGTTTATCTTACTCGACACAAACAGGAAGAGGATCAATCTGCACTAACAGGTGAGATCTTCTTTATTATTACTTTTCTGATATTTAAGTTCATTTACGCTTCTTCTCAGAACAAGGAGTCTAAAAATCAAAGACAAAACCGATTTAGATGCTGGATGCAAAAGTTGATTAGATCAGCTTTTCTAAATCTAATAATAAAAAAAAGTTAACGAAAGATTGTAAATCACTCGAAAATTTGGTATCATTCTATATAATATGAAAATCATTGAGAATTTCTGTTGCTAATCATATTCGTAGCGTCTAAATGCTCTTGTATGTATCATATCTAATCTTTGTCAAACATATTTTATTTCTTAGTTCCTTCAACAAGCACAAGCACAAGCACAACAACGAGTGCCATCACAAGTATCACTACCACCAAAATAATCACTACTAGCAGAAACACGACAACAAGTACAAGTGCAAATACGACAAGTAGCACGATATTTTCGCCATTAACAGTTTCTACTCCAGCGGGTTCGTATATCAAGACTATGGAATGTAGTTATCACTTATAGATCACATCCTCATCCCCAAAAGATAACTTTAGAGATCTTCGAATGATAACGAACGATTTAAAAACAAACGTTATTATAAGTCACTTTGATAAAAAAATAATTAGTTATTTTTAAAAGTTGAGTCATTAATGCATAGTAGACTAAGAATTCGTATATATCATCAGTACATGTTGATGATGTACGAAGTTGAAGAAAATCTTCTTTTGTTTAATCTCTATTTTATTGATTTCTTCTATTAGTTGTATCCTGTACAAATTTGACCTTCGCAGCAACAGCTTCGTATCCAGTTGGAGCCAAACCTCAGGCGACTGCTATTGGTGATTTCAATGGTGATGGAATACTAGATCTTGTCATTGTCAACAATGATGATAACACTGTGAGCGTGCTCCTTGGAGTCGGGAGTGGGCTGTTCGGATCACAAACAACATTTCCAACTGGTCTCAAACCAGTATCGGCCGCTGTCGGTGATTTTAATGGTGATGGACGGCTAGATCTTGCCGTTGTCAACTATGGTGATAACACCATGAGTGTGTTACTTGGAACTGGTAGTGGAAGTTTTGGACCACAGATAATTTATTCAACTGGTTTTTACCCGTGCTGGATCGTTGTCAGAGACTTGAATGGTGATGGCCGATTAGATCTTGTTGTTGCTAACAGCTATTCAAGCAATGTGGGTGTATTTATTGGGATTGGTAATGGGTTTTTTGGACCACAAACAACATACTCTACCATCGCCATGCCGATCTCCATTGCTATCAACGATTTCAATGGTGATGCTTATCTAGATCTCGTCGTTATCTCCTCGTATTGGCCCACCATTAGTGTGCTACTTGGGACCGGTACTGGGACTTTCCAATTACAAACAACGTTTTCAACTAATTCTGGATCGTACGTGATCGCTACCGGTGATTTTAACAGCGATAACCAAGTAGATATTGTCGTCGGTAACGGCTACCCCTGGCTGCCCAATTTAGGTGTACTTCTTGGCAACGGTGATGGGTCCTTTGGACTATCAACTACGTTTTCTGTAGGCTTTGATTCAGTGCTCGATGGAGTCGCTATTGGTGATCTCAATGGTGATGGTCGATTAGATCTTGTCGTCTCCAGTTCTTACACCTCAGCAGACAATATTCGTGTGCTCCTTGGAACCGGTAATGGGTCTTTTGTGTTACAAACCCCACTTGCAACTGAATCTAATTCTGCACCGTATGGAATCGCTATCAGTGATTTAAATAACGATGGTCGACTAGATCTTGCTTTTTGCGATTCGACCGCAGAGAACGTTTTGAGCATTTTTCTCAATACATGTACATGAGAGAGATATCTTAATTCGCATTTTTTTGTTGTTGTTGCTTGATGTTCTAATTTCGCGCTTAATGCTTTCAATATCTTGTATAATTGCTTTTTATTATTCACTTGCTCATTATTTCAAAAATACAATACATTTATCTTAACATGAATTATTCTTGTATTTTGTAGATAAAACTGAATATTGGCTAGACACCGGCAGAGTAGAACAAGGTGATGAAATCAAGAGAACGAAAAACAGTGATATTTATGAAATATCAAGTAATAAATAATGATAGAACTTGCTGAAAAAAATTAACCTAAATCTGATAAAGAAAGAGATGCACATAGAATTAATCGATATTTCAAAGCAATATCAAACATCAATAAGAGAAAAACTGTATTAAATTACTGAAGAAAAAGATATGAAATACTGGTTAATTTCTATATAACTGACAGAGTGTGGGTGCCGATTACATCAAGACATGAATATCGCCCACAACCACACCTTCAAGATGTTGACGTCTATTAACTATAGACACATGGATAGATATATTTCTTTTTCTTATATGAGATAGAAGACCAAGGCCTATTTCTATTATGTCTACAGTAAGAACCAAGGCTAATCTAAAAATGAGGTATCGTGAATATGAAGGGATACAGTCTATTGATACATTAATATTTCTTTTATTTGTTTGTTGTTTTCTTCTCAATTGTAAAGAAAAAGAAAATGATACTAATATATTAGTAAATATTCTTTGTTTTTCTTCTTGTTCTATTTTTGCATCTTTACTTATTAAAGAATTCTTTGATAAGTATATTTTCAACTTAAATCAATCTCGATTTATTGGAAAGATCTTCAAAGTGTTATATGAGCTAGTTTCTGATTTAAAAATGTGGAGATGAATGTATAGATGATAATCTTCTACATTTGTTCGTAGAAGATCACACGCTATATTTAGAGCAAGGAATGGCTATCGCTAGGAAATATCCCAACAGGTAAATAAAGAAAACGAGATGCGAAAACTCCTATCATAAACAATAATATAAAAGGAGAGACCCATAAAAAAGAATGAAAGAGAAAAATACAATGAGCAGCAAAGGAAAAAAACAACAAATGCATGAAAAGTCATATGAGAGATGACATATACATATGTAATCGCAGAACGAAAGAAGATATACATATGATGAGACGAAACAAAAGATGATAACACCATCAAATAAAAAAAATAAAATTGACTCCAAATTCTTCATTTCCTTTTCTAAAAAAATAAAAAGATTGAAATATAAATAATCATTTATTAAATCTCACTGATATCTTCTTTGAATTCTTGATAAAGTTCGAAAGTTGTCACGAGGAGCTTATCTATTTTTAAGATGTCCTGATCGAGCAATAATAAGTATTTGTTCAAGATACATAATTGGTCACTATTATTGCATTCCATAAGTTTTAATTCAGCTTGCTTTTTCAAAATTTGTAATTGTTTCTTTTTATTCAGTTCACTGACTAATAAATCCAATGTTGGCTCTATCTACAAACAGAAGCTTTTATATTGTAAATTTAGCGTTTTTTTTTCTTATCTACATATAAAGAACGTTTAGAACTGTAATAACTTCATGATGACGATGTGCCATTCAAGAAGAAACAAAATTTTATTTATTGATAACTGGTTAATGATAAAAACAAGTAAAGTTAAAAATTTACCCTGAAATAAAAGATTTAGTTTAAAAAACTATTTAATTTAATAAAACATTTTCAGTGGATAAACGTACATACAAGTAAACTTGAGGGTGGGGGTGGGTGGTGTGGGTGTGGGTGGATGTGGATGGGTGGGGTGTAGGTGTTCATTTCATAAGACACTTACCCACACCCTCATGTGGAGTGTCATCGAAGATGATCGGATCATCGTCGTCACCGTCGATGACGATTAAGTCATCATTTTCATTACACATAATGTTGGGAAAAGCAGTAATAAAGTTTGAAAATTCACTAAGTTCCATTTCGTCCAATAATGATCATTCATTATTTTCATTTATATATTCGTCGAGTAAGTCGGGTGTGGCTGTTGGTATTTTTTGAACTAAAACTGACCAAAAGAAAAGTATTTATGTTTAATAATAAAAATAAATTAATTTGAAAAAAGTGTAAGAGATAGTGGATATTCAACTTACTTTGCACGAGCGTTTGTATTGTTGAATGTATTCGAAAAGTTTATCTGTAGTCTCTATGATCTATAGCAAAAGAACAATTATACGTTAGTATTGCTTTCTCCTTACATGACTGTAGTTGATTTAAATGGTAGTTAATAAATCATGCGGCAACGACATTTTTCAAATATTATAAGCGATAATTATAATCTAAAATGAAAAAATTTAGTTTAAAAAGACATTTAATTCTAAAATATTTTTTCGGTTAATATATATGTATCTAAATAAGTGATTTATCAAGCGGGTGTGGATGAATGAGGAGAAAAAAAGTAACCATACATACTCGTGCATCGATATCTTCACTTACTTCACACCCACATCAGTCAAGATGTTGCCCGTTCTAATAATTTCAATTAAATGTATGCAAAAGACTCATATACTGTTACCAAAAATATGAAAGAATACTATTTTTTGCAGTTAGTCTGACGATTATCAATAGAAAAATGGTTGACACGGGCGAAACTACGCTCTATTATATTTCTTCTTATAAAGAATCGCATAATTTTCGTTCAAGTTATATACGTATATATTCGCCCATGAAAAGGAGAAAACAATATGAAACGAAAGGAATATAAAGAGAAAAAATAAGAGCAATACGATAAAAACAAAGTATACCATGATATATGGGTGTGATTGTGTTATTTTGATCATCTATAAACCCTCACCCACCCACACCCACACCCTCTTTGAGCATTGGTAAAACTATTGCATTGATTCTACTTGTATGCTTTTATTTTTTTAATTTATAAAAAACTGTTTAAAATCAACGTCTTTTGACACAATTTGGTATCAATAAAATAAAAATATATGATTACTAGAATTCGTTTTGATTTTGATATACCTGATTTCATGTATTGACTCTATTAATGTTATAATAATCAACTCAGAAACCTTCGTTGCTGATATCATGATTATTAGATTATCATGAAAACTATTTATTAAAGTAAACAACGATCAAGAGATTCCATCGAAGAAATTATGTCAATTTAAATTCGTCTGCGAAATAATATGGCTGTGAGATGAGTAGATATGCCTCTTGTTATATTCAAATTGATATCAACATCCACACTCTAGTAACCGATTATACGGTTGAATATACACATAGCCTTTAGTAGGGTGTGTGTGGGTGTCGAGCATATCAAGACATGAATATCATCCGCAGTCACAGCCACACTTTCACCCATACCCACACCCTCGTTCATAACTTGCCTGGTGCCCAACACTGAAAGACACATTCTGATAGTCTCATTCGCTCCAGCTTGATCCTTCCATGAAGAATAAATAGTAGACTATCTTTGAAATGACTCACATTTTTTGCTCACGAGTAAATATTTATTCAGAAAACTTTAAACCTTTGTTCACATTACAAGTATTACCACTTTCTCACTTTTTGTTGTACTGTTCGAAGTAGTGATGTTGCTTCAATTTCCCGCCCTTTAGACCTGCATTGTAGTGCGGTCCTTGATTACCTTGTGGATTCCCATCCTTGTAATCGACGGGATTGTCCAGTCGAATCGAGATTTCTTCGCCGTTCGCGTTTTTGAACTCGTACTGTGTGCAGAACTTTCCCTTGTTGTTTGTATCTGGAATTTGCTCCCGATGCTCTAGAGGCGACTGTGACTCGGCAATACCGTTGTGATGTTTTGCCTTGTTAAAAGCTTCATGTTGGTACTTACTATGCGTGTCTTGTTTGTCGTTGAAGGTAGGTGGTTGCTTTTTTTCTTGTGATTTGCTGCGACTGCGGTTGTTTTTTGACATATTATTATGATTTATGATAGTAGAAATGAAGTGACTCTGCGCGTCGTCTTCGATTCTTATATACACAGAAGGAAGAAACGAAAGAAAAAAGACTATCACTGGGTTTTTTCCTTTAGATATAAAAAATTCTCTTTTCTCGTGAGTAAATACATATAGTCATATGAAAGCGATAAAGTGGGGTTATTTTTCGTTATAAGAAATAAACCCACCTATTAGCTACGTTTTTGGAAAGATTTCTAGCACTACCAAGCTCGCCCTCTTCGACAGAAATGCACCAAAGTGCTGAATTTGATTCCAGGAGAGTGTGAATGTGAGTATAATACATAAATATCATATCCAGACCCACACACTAGATAATAAATAATACTTTGTTAAATTCAAGCAAAAACTATCCACCAGTTATAAAGCATTCTTTATTTATTAGGGCATACAAAATTTACGATTATGTATTTTAGAGTCAACTAGTGGCTTTCTAAGGACAACTGAATTTTAAGGTCAGCTCCGACATATATATCATCTTACAAACTAAAACACCATTTATATGCTTAGATATCAAACAAAAAATGATTTCCATATACTAGTGTTCTTCTTTGCACTTATTGAACAAAGAATATTAATCAAAAATAAATTGCGCGTGGTCGGTATTTATTTTCAGAATATATTATTCTTGGTGACTACACTATTTACTTTCATTAACGGTATATCCACGATTTACAGAGTAATCCTCCGAAATTACAGAATTTTCATAATTATATCTTGGAAAAATGAGAAATTTTATAAAAATATGTTGATCAACAAACAATACAATCTACAAGATGAATGATGCATTGGGTAGTAAATTATATATCTCCATGAATAGTATTGTTCTTGCTTTTGTGTCACTGAATGAAGAAAATATCTGAATATTCAATTCTTTTTTCAAGTCTGTTCGATAGAAACGATGAGAAAAAAAACTTCTGAAAAGATATAGCAAGATAAAACGAAAAATATTCATTTTATTCCTTGTTGCAATTCACTTATTTACACATGCTTCACCTTCACTGACTGTGTATATACAAGAACGAGAAAAGAAAAGATGGCAACTACAATAATCAGACATAAAAGTTTATTTTGTTCGTTGTCAATGTACTTTTTTGATGGTCTCTCGCACACTTTGTATTTATATTTTTAAAGGCATCTAAGAAAAGAATACAATCTTTTGCCATAAATTATTAGCTTTGTTGTCGACAAATTTTCTTTCTTCAGAATAATTTTTAATTTATAGAAGCCACGTGCATACTCTCGCTAATGGTTTTTTATTTTTATAGTTACGCAAAGAGCGATAAACTATGTCTTCAACACATTCCTGCCGATGTTTAAATTGCATAGTCTATGAATACAAGCAAAACAAAGCATGTATACAATCTATTCTTAATATGAGATAAGATGTGTCCACTAATTCTGTAATGTACACAAAATAGTTTATAATGCAACGAATCGTTCTCAATACATTTTAATCATAGCATTCTTATAGAAAACACTATTTAACTGAAATACTATTAGTAATGTTCTTTTTTATTAAAGTATATTTATCATCAGCACGATTATACTGAAAAATGTGTGATTTATTTCACTTTTTGTCGACTACTATTAAAATTTGTTAAATACATGAAAAACAGCTGTATTTGAAATGCAAGGTTAGTGTTAATACTGTAATTTGTAATGTAAAAATATCCATCAATGTGATTTTTCTTCTGGTTGATTGATCCAGTCTCTATACAATGGTTAATATACAATTGTAGCCAACCTCACTGACGAAATAACAAGATGCTAAATGGCAGAGAGAGAAAAAAAAACTCGCTAAAGAAGTGTCATCTACAAAGTAACATACTGAAATAATTGCGCAGACGTAAATAAGAGAAAGTTGGAAAGAAAAACAATCAATTAAAATGCCTAGTTGCCTTTTTTATGTATTGTGTGTTCGGATTTGGTGAATTTCTCTCTCTCTCTGTCTCTGTTACTTTCAGCATAGTGTGTTTTTAATAATAACTATGTAGCGAGGTTGCCTTTTTATGTCAACAAAATAATACAAACATTGTGTGTCGCGAAAAAATCGAGAAAAAAACAAATCGCTGCCTATATAAACTGATGCTGTAATCTCTGTTGTTACTCAAATCACCATACTCTTTTATAAGTTCACATTCATCGTCAAATCGCAACTCATATCAATATGGCTGCAGAAACCCCACAGAGAAATTTTGATTCAGCGTCCAGTTCAGCTACATCTAATACAACTGCTAAAACAGCAGCGCCATCAACACGTAGTCAGATGGCCCAAAACTATCTGTTAGTTTGGGCCGATGCAAACATCGATGAATCCAACAAGGATTGCCAAAATACGTTGGCACAACTCCGGGCTGTAGTCAACGACGTCTTCATGTTCACTCAATCAAACGCGTGTATTCAATTTCTCGACAAACTTAAAGATGAAAAAGCTTTCGTTATTACGTCAGGATCTTTGGGTCCATATTTTTTAGTTCCTGCAATCCACCACATGCCAAAATTAGATGCCATTTACATACTTTATGGCGACATATCTTATCATCAAGAATGGATCAAGGATTGGAACAAAATTAAGGGTGTTCATAATAATATCAAGGATATCTGTGACGCCTTAAAAGGCGGTGTCAAACAAGTCAATCAGGATTCAATTCCTATTAGCTTTCTCGCAGAAAATGAAACGGTGTCCGATGAAAACCTGAACCAACTGGAACCAAATTACATGTATACACAAATATTCAAGGATATTCTCCTTGAAATGGATCATGATCAAGAACAAGCCATCAAGATCTTAACGGTGTATTGTCGTAGATTTTATTGTTACAATATTGATGAATTGAATATTATTGATGAATTTAAACGTGATTATCGTCCAGAAGAAGCAATTTGGTGGTATACACGTGAGTGTTTTATCTATCAAATGCTCAATCGAGCACTTCGAACGTTGGATGCGGACACGATCATAAATATGGGATTTTTTATTCGTGATCTTCACCAACAGTTGAATCAAATACATCAACAACAACTTTCGAGTTATCATGGTGAGCCTTTTTTAGTCTATCGAGGACAAGGTTTGCTAAAAACTGATTTCGAAAAACTGCAAAAAACAAAACGTGGTCTCATATCGTTTAATAACTTTTTATCAACCAGTACGAAAAAAGATGTTTCTCTCCGGTTCGCCAAGGGTGCCTTAGGAAATACCGATGTGGTGGGAATACTTTTCATAATGACTATTGATCCTCGTGTTTCATCAACACCATTTGCCTCTATTAACGAAGTTAGTTATTACAAGACAGAAGAAGAAATTCTGTTCTCCATGCATACCGTGTTCCGAATAGGTGCAATTAAACAAATGAACAATAATGATAAACTTCATCAAGTGGAGCTTCAACTAACTGCTGACGATGATGAACAACTTCAACGACTTACTGAATGCATAAGCAAAGAGATTGAAGGTGGCACAGGATGGGAACAATTGGGTAGCTTATTAGTCAAAACAGGTCATTTTGGTAAGGCGGAAGAACTATATCAAGCACTACTTGAACAATCACCGAGTGAGAGTGACAATGCACTTTACTATAACAATATTGCATATGTCAAAGATAATCAAGGTGATTATGAACAAGCCATTGAGTATTACAGAAAAGCATTTGGAATTTGGGAAAAAACTCTTCCTGCAAATCATCCTAACATAGCTACTTCCTACAATAACATTGGTAGTGTATATAACAACATGGGAGAGTACTCCAAAGCACTTTCATTTTACGAAAAAGCGCTTGAAATTGAAGAGAAAGCTCTTCCTGCAAATCATCCTAACTTGGCTACTTCCTACAACAACATCGGTGGTGTGTATGACAAGATGGGAGAGTACCCGAAAGCACTTTCATTTTACGAAAGAGCCCTTGGAATCTTTGAAAAAACTCTTCCTGCAAATCATCCTAACTTGGCTACTTCCTACAACAACATCGGTGGTGTATATGATAGCATAGGAGAGTACTCGAAAGCACTTTCATTTCACGAAAAATCCCTTGGAATCGTTGAAAAAACGCTTCCTGCAAATCATCCTAGCTTGGCCGCTTCCTACAACAATATTGGTGAGACGTACATACAAATGGGAAAGTACTCGAAAGCATTTTCATTTTTCGAAAAAGCCCTTGGAATCTTTGAAAAAACGCTTCCTGTAAATCATCCTAACTTGGCCGCTTCCTACAACAACATCGGTAATGTATTTAACAGCATGAGAGAGTACTCCACAGCACTTTCATTTTACGAAAAAGCACTTGGAATCGACGAAAAAACTTTTCCTGCAAATCACCCTGGTTTAGCTACTTCATACAATAACATTGGTAGCGTGTATGATAGCATGGGAGAGTACTCAAAAGCACTTTCATTTTACGAAAAAGTACTTGGAATCCAAGAAAACACTCTTCCTGCAAATCATTCTCAGCTAGGTGCTTCCTACAACAATCTCGGTTTTCTATATACGAACATGAAAGAATATTCTAAAGCTCTCTCATATTTTGAACGTGCTTTGAGCATTCGCAAAGTTTCATTACCACCAAATCATCCTGATCTTGAAGATATGAAACAGTCGATTGAAATTGTAAAAAAGAAATTATAATTTTTTCTTCTGAATAAATAAACAAATGTTTTCTTTATGCAAGAAAGAAATACTTAGGTTATACCAAAAAAAAGTGTGGGTGAAAGTGTTCACACTCTCCTCATGTCATACTCACGCTCACTCCATATTCAGAATCCGTTTCTCATCATATCGTTTCGTATACTCGCGTAGTCTACGAAAGTCGTAGACGAGCTCCTTATATTCACGTTTTTCTTCGTAACGATCGGTTATACGGGTGCATTTTTACCCTGGATTTAGAAAATCAATTCTCTACGAAAGTTTATAATACATTTATCAGTATTAAATTAACGCGTTTTGAATGTTTTGATAGTAAAATTAACAATTCTTCGAGCATTGGTGAAAATATTGCATTGATTCTACTTGTATTCTATTATGTTTTTACTTTATTAAAAAACTGTTTAAAATCAACGTCTTTTGGCATAACTTGATATCAATAAAATAAAAATATATGATTACTAGGATTCGTTTTGATTTCGATATACTTGATTTCATGTATTGACTCTATTAATACTATAATAATCAAGACAGAATCCTTCGTTGCTGATGTCATGATTATTAGATCATCATGAAAACTATTTATTAAAGTAAACAACGACCAACAGATCTCGCGGAAGAAATTATGTCAATTTAAATTCGTCTGCGAAATAATATGGATGTAGAGTGGGTAGATATGACTCTTGTTATATTCAAATTGATATCCACACCCACACCCTCAAGATGTTCACTTTTTTCAGCATCTCAATAACAATAATATTAATAATAGAACTTTCAAGGATTCAGATCCATATTGATTTTATCATCATATGACTACAAAATTATTAAAAAGCTGAAAAAACAATACAGATGAAACCTAATAATGCTTCTAAAAAAGTGTGATCAAAATAATAAAAGTAAAGCATAGTTTCATCAGTACAGAATATTTTATATGTGAAGAATTTTAATTATATATTGAATTCAGAAGATTGAAAATCACCTGAGACATAAAATTCAATGATTACAGATAGAATACATACACAGATTACAAGAAGAAGTAGTCGTCATTTAAAATTATCAGTAAATGTCACAAAGGTGACTCGTCATCATCATCATCATCATCATCATCATCATAACAATAAATCGTCAGTAGAAACATATACGTCTATACATTCACCAACTATCACTTCATTGATAAAGAAGAAATCAGTTCATCATCGTACTAGATTTCCTTCGGTGAGTTATTTAGATTTTCAATATTTTTTCTTCTTATTTTTACAACAATAGATTGCAAATATTTTTAATACTCAAACTAAAACTAATGAATTAAACAAATCATGTGTTGTTCCACAAAACTATGCTGAACATTCAAAGAATAACAGTGTAAGTTTTATTTTTAGATTTCTTTATATAATTGTTTATTATTAATAAGGGAAATTCAAATAAAACAAAAACTAATCAAGTAACTAAAAATTTATCTTATTATAAGAAATAAAAATATATTTTAATATGTAATAATAATATTAGGACAGTACTAATGAAGCCTGGCCCATTGAAACCAATTGTATATATGAATATGAAGAACAAGCAAAAAAGAAAAAAAAACAAAAGTAAATCTGTCTTCTGTTCATCATTTATATAATTTTCAACATTCTTTAATGATGTTTTAGATATAAATATTGTACTGGCTTCCGTTTACGTGCTCTTTTGTGTTTGTTTGGTACGATCATCCTCGGAGCTTTAGTTGCTGCAATTATTATTGCTATTTTATCTAAATCAATAACAACAAACATAACATCAATTACAACAGTGTCAACTACTATAATAACAACGACAACAGAATCAACAAGCACTACCACAACTACACGTAAGACGTTTTTAGTGTTCGTTTCCTCTAATAAATGTTATTTACTTTACAGCTCCGTTATTTTACATCAGCTTAAATGAATCTGTAAATGGCATATGGAATACTACTGTCGGGGGCGATAGTACTGCATCTGTTAATGGTACAAGTGCTGGTAATTATGTAACGGGGGAAGAACCGAATGCAGCATTTGATAGAAATACGAGCACTAAATATACGAGCTTTGGTTCATGTAGTATTGGCGTTCCATCCATTGAATGTGGTATAAATACTGGTTTATATATAACACCTCAATCAGGTGCTTCTTTAATCACTGGTTTACGATTCTGTACAGGTAATGACTATCCGGAACGTGATCCTCTTACAGTATCCGTGGAAGGAAGCAATCATACTTTAGCACTTACATTTGGAACAAGTTGGACTCTTATCTATAATGGTACAACAGGTCTTGATGTAGATCCTGGGAGAGCTACTTGTGGAGTTACACAACTATTTTTAAATAATTCTAACTCTTATTTAAGTTATCGAATTCTTCTCAGTTCAAAACGTGGCATAGATTATGTTCTTCAATATTCTGAAATAGAACTACTTGGTTACTAACAATTTTGTCATGTATTTCATTTAAGTATTGTGAAAAATATATATTTATTAAATTATATAAGACTCATTGTGTAAATAATAATAAAAAAAAGAACTAAAAATCACTGGAATATAATTAAAAAATAAAAATGACTAGAAATATATTGATTTGTTAAAATGACATTTGTTTGCTTTTCTATCGATCAGTATTTTTATTATCTTTTGGTCGATTGAATAAAAGACATCGACTGGAAATAACACAATCAATTTTCGAAAATTCGCTATTCGATAATTCAGTATGCGATGCAGTTGGACCCATTCGATTTGTTAAAATCTAATATTAGAATTATTTATCAAAAAAAAAAACAAAAGAAATTCAATTAAATAATATTTACTCGAATACTTTCTCCATATCGTTGATCATAAGGTAAATGTAAAACAGTTCCATTAATCCATAAACAATTTGCTGGTGGATCATCATTAAGTGTTATCGTTTTATATGATTTATATTCACTATTTTCTTCCATTTGCTTTTAACAAAATCGAATAAAAATATTTACTTTTTTGATTTTATTTTATTCTTACACGAAGAAGATCTTTTGCTATACATGATCCTCCTATTGCCATTGTATCCATACCAATCATTGTGACAAAATTTTTTAAATGTGTACCTTTTTTTACCTAAATATATATTCAATCTTAGATATATAAATAAGATAAAAATTGAAATAAATACCCTGAGTAAAGTTACTGGATATTCAGGAAAAGCAGATGCTACTGCTTTTGCACCTGCCATATTTGTAGTTTTTGATAAACCAACAAAAAATTCACGGCCTAAAAAAATCATGAAAATAAATTTAAAAATGAAATTTCATAATTACCGGTAAAAAGAACATCTCCTCCATCGATAGTTGCTAATGGATCTTCTATATCAATAATAATAAGACCTTCTCGTTTAAGTATTGTTCGAATAATATCAACCTAAAATAAATTTCATATTTCTAAATATATGTGACATGTAAAAGTTAATATTATACTTCTTTCAATCTTCCAGGTATTCCTGGTCGACACATAAGTGCAATTCCATCACAGATAACTGCTGTATCTTCAACAAATACTCCTTCAGGTAATGATTCATCTGCTGGTAATTCAATAACATCTAAACCAAGTTTTCTAAATAATATAATTAAAATTAAAAAAGAATTCTCATTGTTTTTTTTTTCTTTTACCTTAAAGTTGCAATATAATCTTGATGTTGTCTTCTAGCTTTTTCAATATTAATAACTTCTCTTATTTCTCGTTGATATAAAGCAGCATCTTTTAAACTTGTTGCAACACGACAAACAATAGCGGATGTAAAATGAAAATTAAATGGATACGTTAACATTATCTTAAAAGCAGAAAAAAAAGTGAATTGAAATATATATTATATTGCACACGCAAATAGTTAAAATATATTTATATAAAAAAAAGAAAAGAAAGGAAAATTAATTTATTTTTTAATTAACTTTTGTTCTATTCGATGAATTCGTCGCTTCTTTTATGGAATTAACTGTTTTTGATAACCAACTACCAGATGAATTTTGATTATTTGAACGAATACTACTTATAGATATTGTATCTGAATCGCTCATCATTGATGTTGTTCGTTGAAGTTTACGTGTTAATTCTTGATTATCACATAATGCTTGTGTTAATGCTAATTTCTTTTCTGCTAATTCAATTTCAACACGATGTAAACGATTTGCAACATCAGATGGAATGACTGAAGGTAAATCATCTTCATTTAGATTATTATTTGATGTTTCTCGTTCAGGTGTTGAAACATTACTAGGTGGAGGTGAATAAATTAAAGATTTACATGATTCACAACATTTAGTCTAAATTAAAAAAAGAAAAAATTATATGAATGAAAATAATTCATTTTATTTACATGAATAAATTCCATTTTTTGAATATATTTTTCTTTATGTTTATCTAATTGATTATTTAATTGTGAGCAAATCTAAAATAAAAAATTATTTTATAAACGTTATAGAACTTCTTCTTAATGTAATATTTCAGAAATGACATCTATACACTTTGGAGAATTACTTAAGTAATTGACATTAGTCCTCAAGAGATTTTTATATTTACTTGTTTATAATCATGAACCGACTTTTGTGCTTGTTGAAGATCATCACATGTATCTCGAAATGCTTCTCGAGTCTAAATAAAAATAATTTTAGAAAAATATTTCGTTAAAATTCTCTCACATGTTGTAATTGTTCGTTTAATCTAATTGCAAGTTCTTCACTTTGTCGAACAATAAGTTTTGTTGCTTCTAATTCTCGAGTTAAAGTTTCAATATGATCATCTGCCTAAAAATATTTTAATACTAGTCGTTTTTATTCATTTAATATTTAATCAACAAACTTGATGAAGACGTTCTTTAAGTTTAATCCGATCATTAACCAATTCAAGTGCAAGCATTTCATTTTCAAATTCCGAACGCATACAATTTTCAGTTAAACGTTTGTTATCAACCTGTAAAAGATAATTAATGCACACGTGTGAAAGTTAAAGTTTATCAACCTCAAGACGTTGTAAAGGAGTTTGTTTTTGTTCTTCTTCAGCACGACGAGTTAAATATTCTTTTTCATATCGTTTCAATTTTTTTATATTCAACTAAAAAATAGTTTAATTAATTAATTCATTTAGTTTATTTTTTTTGTAAAATACCTTCATTGAACATGCCGCTTGAATAAGTTCATCAGCATGATCTTCACAAAGATATTTTTTCGGTAAATTAACACGAAAAAATCTCATTACACCTTCAAAATCAAGTGATAATAGATCCTTTTGATTGCACTAAAATACAAAGTTTTTATTTCTTTTAATATTAATTATTTCTCTAGAATCTTATTACCTTTAATAAAGATAAAGCAACAGCAAAAATTGCATTAAAACCCTAAAAAAAGAAAATATTCTGTTTTTTTCTTTTCAATAAAATCTCTAAATAAGACAAACTTCATATAAAAATATATCCATAATACGAAAGACAACATAAAGTGGAAATTTAGCTGTAAATAATGTTAAAAACCATTGTGAAGCAAACATATGACATTCAACTTTCAGATCATAAAAATGTGCATAAATATCCGGTAAATTTTCTTCAATTAAACAATTTAATTGATAAAATTTCATTTGAAGATTTTCAAAATTCGCTTTATACATTAATCGTAATAAATAACGTTCATCTTCCATTAATTTACATAATAACATAAACGCTTGTTCTTCAGGCATCTAATCAAAATAAATTTATAATACAATTCAACATATTTTTTTCCTCATTTTCTTACATGAATCAGTATAGTAGCGATAACAAATGATACACCTTGACAATAACCAACTTCTTCATCTCGTACTGAATAAGCCTTTTGATAAAAAAATAAATTAAAATAATCAAGTGTTTATTTTTTACATACTCGACTTAATTTATATAAAGCTTCTTGACCAATTCCTCCTTGTTCTTTAAAATATTCGTGAGCTGGAAATGTTCGATTAAGATCATTGATAATAATTCTTTCACTTGATGATTCTTTTGTTAATAAATATCGATAAGTATCAATCATTTCTTTTTCATCTTTAACACTTCCAGCTAATAATTGCCAAACTTCACAACGTAAAGCTTCGGGAATACCTTTTTGTACAAGTATTTGTAAACCATTTGGTCGTTCATTATAATTTTTTCTCCATTTTATTAATATTTCATTCCAATTGTTAAGAACGTCTGCATCACATTCTTTACTCACATGACCAAAACCACTTATGATTATATCATCATTATCATCTTCACCTGTATTATTTGTTATTCCTAAGAAGAAAAACAGAAGGTTTATTTTGTTGATGAAAATTAAAAAACAAATTACTTGATGATAATCGTTCAAATTTTGCTCGTCTTTCAGCTTCAGTTTTACTTTCTAATTGTACGACTTCATAGACTTGATCTTGATGAGAACTTTTCGATGACACCTTTAAAATACGAAACATTGTGTTATTCTGTTCTTATATCAAAAAGTAAATATATCTTTTATTTACCTGTTTGACAATCATATCAAATTCTTCCGTAAATGGTGTTACTTTCTTAAATGATGACCATATTGTATCACTAATATCTTGAGAATTTGTATCATTTGATTTATTTATTTCAGTAATACGAGCTTTAGCTTCGATTACAAATCGAACTGGTTCCGAAATACCACTTATAACGACATCTAATGCTATTGTTAAAAATACACGAGCACCTGAAAAGAATTTTTTTTTAAATATCTCTCTATTAATCAGTTTTTATATACCTTTTGATGTTTCCTCGTTTAAATGTATTAAATCTTTAAAAGCACGTGCTAATGGATTCCAATATCCTCTAACACCATAACTACGATTATCATCTGATTTTCCCATTGTTTCCTGTTTTGACAAAATAAATATGTTTTTTTTATTATAAATAATAATTATATTCCTATTAAAAACAAACCAAATCAAGTAATTGCATATCACTTGCACGAACATTACGACCTTGAGCAAGTAGTAAACCAAAACATCTAACACATTCAATTTACAAAACAACACAAGAAATCAATGAGATTTTTACCTTTCAATATTCAATGGTGTACCTCGAATTTGTTGAAGAGTAACACTCACATTTTTTCGAATATTTTTTCGAAGATTAAATACATTTTTTTCTGGTCTAGTTAATCGTATAAATAAAGTTAAAAAAATATTCTATTTCAATTTAGATTCTACCTTGGTGCAGAAATTAGAGTAACATTTCCTTTAGAATCTGTATTTTCTTCTTTTATATCAAGAAAACATCGAAATTTAATTGTACCATCAAATATTTGTAGATTCGATGGTAATTGATTTGAATTCGATGCGGTTTGTTGTTGTAATTGAGCAACCGTTGCCTGAATTGCGTTACTGATTATTGATGTTGTTCGACGTGAATTTACTGATTGATTATTTGCTGTTCGTCGAAATGCATTAGCAAAACTTAATAGAATTCGATAGATCTAAATAAAATAAAGTAAAGTAAAGAAAATTTTCATTTATCTTAAAGAAAAAAACAATTAAAACTTACAGCATCTTGATTTTCACATCGAAAAACTTGACATTGATAAAGAACTTCATATTGTAATTTTCCACTAGGAGTTTTATCATTTTGTTGATTTAATAACATTGATGGACGTGATGTAGTAAATGCCCAACAACATGATAATGGAGTACTGGACGGACCACGAGCACAAAATATAATTTGAGATACAAGATATGAGCTTATTTCACCTTCACTCTGTGGATCAAGAAGTCTAAATATATTGTTATTAATGTACAATCAGTTTGACTTAGTATTTACAAATGATTATATCTAATCTATACTCTAATTAGAAAACAACACAATATAAAATCAGTTGCACTATTTTCTATTTGAATTAAATTTATTGAAATATATATGTTATTCGTGTATTAGATAGATAGAACTGAGTACAAATCTATACTTACAAAAAAAGAGAGACATTTTGCAAGCAATCGTATTTTTTTCGCTAAGAGCAAAGAATAATTATTCGTCTAAAATACATTCCGTTTGACTGTCTTATTGATTTTT